ATTTCAGTCCCTGTAGTTACTGAACAATAAACCTTAGTATGTAATAAGCCTGGAATGTGAAAGGGTTAAATATATTATTCAGTGCTTATGCATGTGTTATGAAGTCCCTAGAGACCATAAATCCATTCCTCAAAAAACATCATGCATTCATAATATGAAAGACGGCAGAGAAGAAAAGTAGGGACGGACGGATGGATAGTGGATGAATATTCTATTTAGCCTGTGCCGCTGAGCTCTTACTCTAGACTGCTAACATGCAATATTAACAGCAAATAGGATGCTTCTCTATTCTGTCTGTTTTTCTAGTGCTGCATGCTATAGTGGGTGGGCGTGCACGGGCATGTGATTCTCTAGGATTCTGTTCTGCTTGTAAAATAAAGCTGCTAAGGAGTGTATGGAAAGAAATACATCCCAAAAGTGTGACCAGAATAAAAGAGCGCTTGGAGAAATAGAAGAAATATAGCAGCTGGTTACTTGCAGCTTAAAAGGTCTTGACCAAATGCCTGTTTTAGTGTGATTATTTGCTTCAGGTTGTGTGATGTGTGGTGGGCACGTGTGTGTTAAAGCGATGGAGAGACAGGGCAGAAAGCGCTGAGGTCTGGGGAACGACTGCGCATGAGCACTGGCTGAAAATCAATGATGGTGCAGATCATGCAAGCAGAGAGACAGAGCAGCTCCAGAGGGATAACAGCGTGTCAGAGCTGCCAGTTAAAGCCATCATTTCCCTCGCCTCCTCTCTGCCCCCCGTGTTACATAAAAACCCTCAAGCTGTGCATCAGTTCTGCCTTTAAATGCCTCCCGTCATTCCCTGAATCTCCACATGCTTTCCCAGTGCCTGCAAAGCTGACGTCAAGTATGAGATTTTTTAAATCAGAGTTAATGTTTTTCTTCTCTAATTTTATGTCTTTTCTGTATTTTTCCTTCTTCAATAATTATCTTCTTTAATTTAAGTATGAGGTTGTTTTTCTAATTCCTGTTTTCCTTAAAAGGGCCGATATCGTGGAAAACCAAATTTCTCTTGCTTTTTTTAAATAAAGAAATCTGAAGTTATACATAAACATGTTAAAGTTTCAAAACATACCATCCACTGTTTAATCAATACAGTCTATATATGCTGCAAAAACAGACCCTTTTGAATTCACTGTTCCTGTGATGTCACAAAAACCAACTCATTTACATATAACTACATTAGCCCCACTCATTCAACACTGAAGTTCTAGGGAATGTTTCAACTCTGAATGCTTTTTGAACGAGGCACAATACAGGACAGCCAATCAGAATATAGCTCATTTACTTATGTCAGACTTAAAAGTCACAGTCAAAACAGCCTGTTTAATTATAAGGTTGGAAATGGTCATATTAAAATGAATTATGATCATTTTGGGACAGGAACAAAACAGCCTGTTTACTTCTAACGGATGGAGAGCTTATTATGTATTTAGTACATAAACCCACACAAATGTCATAATTGGACCTTGGGGAGAAAGAAGTATAGAAAAAATGTAGAATATGAGCCCTTAATTTCCAGGGCATTTATTATACATCTGTCCAGATTTGGTATAGAGTAGACCAGCTCAGCTTTTTAAGACCACCTTTGCAGAACGTTATTAGATAAGCAGCGATTCTGTGAAGGAGTGGGATGTCACAGGTCCTCTTATCCTCCTAATTTTAATTCAGCTCACTGTTTGATCATACGAGCATACCTGTTTGATCTGGAGATCAGAAGCAGCAGTTGTTCATTTGAAAAGAGAAGAGTGTCGAGTTCAGCAAGAAATGTAGAAATGTTCCAGCTGTAGGTTGTTCACATCCAGTCATTTTCTCTTTTTACCTTATACAGCCTAACATTCTGCTAATATGAAAGACACAATAGATGTAGAGACCTTGTTTTTTTCTTTTTTTTCTTTAGGGTGACCTTTGCCTTGAATTTCCAACAGCACTGGTCAGCAATCTCTCAATATGATCCATGTGTGGATTATAAATTCTGGTTCCTGGCTTAATGGATTAATTTATGGACATGTACTGCTGTTGGTTAAGAGCAGCCATATACACTTCATCTAAATCAACATTTTTTATGTTATTGGTAATGGTAAGAGCTTGCATTTAAAAGCAGTTAATCTGCTTTTTCTGTGAAGCAAACCTACATTTAATAAAATCACTGGAATCACTCTGAGAGTCGTTCAATAAGTGTTGCCGTTGGAGAAAACGTGTGTGTGTGTGTGTGTGTGTGTGTGTGTGTGTGTGTGTGTGTGTGTTCCTAAATTAAAAAGCAAAGTTTGAGCATCTACTGCCATCTGGTGTAGAAAGTCAGTTACAAAAGGAGTGTTTCTCTTAAAAGGAATGTTGTTGGTCCTCTCAATAGTTCAGTGAGAAATCAGGTCTGCACATTTTTCTCCTGCCCTCCAATGTACTCAATTAGTCACAACATGTTTTGCTTCTTTAGTTTTGCACTGTGGCTAAGAGGCTAACGTTCTTGACAAACACTAGACGTCAATAGTCACCCAAATCTTTCCCATAAATACATCCTTAGAATTTCGTTCAACTTGATTAACCGCATCCAAGTCTTCATTAAGGCCCCACAGACTTGTTGATGTGGCAGAGAACACAGACTGACTTACTGTTAACTTTAAACATGAGCAAGCTGAACACTGTGCGTAAACATTTTAGATGACACCTGTTGTGCCGAACTCCAACACAACCGCAGAATCGGACTCCCATTCACATACATGCACACCATGCATGCTTAGGATGCCAGATTACATCTGTGATTTCTAATTATAAATAACCGCTAATGTTGGAGTTTTGAACTGAAGACAGTTTTCAATAGTCTTCGGACACTCACTGAATTCAATTTGTGTCCTATTTATTTATTACTTTCCAAGCTACAGTTATCATTTATTCTTTTGTATCCATCAGAAAAGTAATAACAGCCAGGTTTACTAAGTGAAACTCAACATAATTCCGGTAATTAATCGAAAAGTTAAGCAAAGCAAGCACAAGTACTCAAACATTACTGGCTCAAACATTAGTGTTTCTTTCCTTTATGTATGTTAGTATTTAGTATTTTATTCAGGTGTGTGTTTTATTGCATGTCCATCCTTTTGGATGACGGCCTAAAGTCTTCGAGACATGGAGTACATAGGTTTGCACAAGTGATGCTCAACCAGGCTTTCTTCTTTTAATGGCCAGAGGATGGCAGGTTTTAAACTGTTCCTGTCTCTTTCCAAAACTTCAGTACATTTTTTGTGTTCCATTTTGAAATTTACAATGTATTTGTAATCTTTCTCATAGAAATCTTATAGCACAGAGACAATCATTTTGACAGATTTAGATATTTGACAATTGAACTCAATTTTCAAGTTTTTAAAAACAATGGGCCTCATTTACCATTTTTTTCCTAAATGTGTTCTTGAGCAAGATCCTAAGAAAAAGCCTTCAACAGATTAATGATGTGTTCTTAAACCGCAGAACTGTTTTCACCTTTGTGCTGTAGATTCTGTTCATATCTAAGAACAAATCCCAAATAAGAAAACTCTAATGAATGTCAGAATCTTTGTGAAAACTGGGTTTTAGAAAGAAATTTCACCTTGGTGAATGAGGCCCAATATCTTTAAGAATGTAAACAGGTGTGTGGTGGCTTTCCAGGAGCGTCACTGGAGATCTCTGGTTTGAACAAGTGCATTTGGATTAGTGCCCAACATTTGTTTTAACTAAAATTCTTCAAATGCTATTGTACTGATATTAAATATACCACCCACCCAAACACTTTGCAGACGTGTAGCAGCTTGTCTTTTACAGTCGTTTTCTGCGCTGGTACATCAGCAGAAAGCTGAGTTTTTCCACAAAACTCAGTTCTCACCAAAACAAAACAACAAATATACAGGCCTGTATCCATGTGTGTGCCTCCATAACAGCCTCCCTCAGTTTATTCCTACCCCGTTTTCCTGAAGCAGCTCCAACCCACGAGCTGACGCAGGCATTCTTTCACCTAGAGCTCCACACACTAGATCCTACACTTCTCCCGTCGGGGTATTTTAAACGTGCCACACCAAACAACAGTTCTTGTTTACTGACCGCGGTCAGACACTCGCCTAGAATAAACAGTCAGTTGTGGTCGCTTCTAAATATCCAAGCACTATTCCCAAATGAAGTGCGCTGTTTTATGTACGTCTATCCTTAGGAAGAGTAAATCACGTGACTGTCGGGATTTCCCTCGGAGAGAGAGGAGGTGCTGCGCATGCTCCCTCTACCTCAGCAGCTGTGGATACCTCGCGTAATATCTCCACCTGTTTTCCGACAAGCCCCGCCTTAGTAACTGACTAACTCAGAGTCACATGCAGACAGGCTGCTGTCACTCAGTCACGATTTACACTTTGCTCACAACTAAACATCGTCGACCTAAATCATTTCTATTCTAAGAAAAATATTACATAGTTTGAAGCTTACTAGGGCTTGCAAAGCTTTCCCATATGGAAAAAAATTGAGACACTTTTCAAAATATAAAATTATAATACAAAACCAATCTTGTCGCAGATAAGATACATGACTCTCGCTGAACAGATATTCATTGTAAATTTGTGACAAAAATGACTACAAATAGATCACAGTTTATTACTTAATAACATATTTTCCCCATGTCATAAATACTTGTTTCAAACACTTGAAATTGTGGACAAACAATCGGTATTCATTTAGGTATCTGTAATATCAAAACTGTATAAGTTATTATGATTGAATAACTATTATTAATATGACCTGCGGTGTATGTAAATATATTTGCTTATATTGAACGCAAAGTGACGTTTTAAATTATATCAACATATTTAAATCCGCCTTTTTTTAAAAAAAATAGGTAAATATTTGCTACTATATCCACACACAAATACCAGTCTATTGAAACATATGCACATACCTGTCGTTAGGCTAACGAACGAGAGCAGAAGAAAGTAGCCAATCTGGCGTAGGGGCCGGGTTGATATGTTGGCTTCACGAAAACGGGTGGGCGAAAACAACCTCTTCCGCATTGACACGCCTACCATACGCAGCTAGCTACTTCACAACATTTAAGGAGGCTTTACAAAAGAAAAAGCGCCCAGTCCAGTTCATACCAGCCGTTCAGGAATACGCTGCAGGTCCTTTTCCACCTAAACTGTAAGTCTAGCTGCATAATTTTGTTCATTTCTTTTCTCGAGACCGTTTTACACCGTACATTCGTAGCATTCAAAGCAAACTCGGTAAGCTTACTTAACGTGTTAATGGTGTCTTGCCAGTGACTTTGAGCATGTATATTAAAATGGAAGCAGAAGTAACCTGCTAATAAAAGAAGAAGATAAACACACACTGAAATCATATGTTTAACTTGGCCAAAAATACAGCATTTCAGAGTGATGGGGTGGATCCATCTCACTAAAAGCCAGCCTAGCAGATTTGTGATGTTCGTTTTAACATATAAAATGATAAACTGTAAGTTTATGCCTGAACTACGTTCTCCAGATGACTTAAGCAATGTTACTTAGTGCCCACCTCTTCAGCACGGGATGCGAAAAAGCTGATTGGATTAGTGAAAGTGGGAGGGTCCATGCAAAACAATCTGCTCTGCCCTCTGGTGTTCAGTTGACCACCCAAAATATAGCCCATGTGTTGTAGTTACTGGTTAGTAGTCATGTGTTTGACGCCCATGTTTGGACAGATGATGATAATGATGGAGAAGATAGCTGCATGGTGATGAATGAGTGACCTGACAGGTGTTGTTTATCAGGTTCTTGCGGCCATATTTGTGTAAGACTTGGTTGCTGTTTGAGAATAAAGACAGGGTGGTTCAGAGTAACGATAAGTCTTGTCGATAATTCAAAGACTACTGCCTGTCCACCTGCAACCTTAGACCCCGTTTCTTCATGCCATAGCTGGCTTAACAGCTTTCTGCAACTCCACCCTCCTTGTTTGCGTTGGAGTTCATAAGTTATTGTCTCATAGCTGACTCCTCTCAGTTTGTCAGTCTTCTTGCCATTGATTGTTTGGACACTATTGAAAACATGGGAGGAAAAAAAAGTGCTTTGTCAGTTGAAAGTATCCTGTGTCAGGGTTCTTGAGGGTATGTTTGATTAAGAGGAGTTCTCTGTCATGTGATTGAGTAAGAGTTTATTCATTCCCATGTACAGTGATGGGGCCTGATGGTTCCAAAGTCACAGATAACCTTTTACATTACAGTTTGATTACATCAGGGACACCCACTCATTTGAACTAGTATCTTAGAATGCAATGAGTTCATGTTAACTCTTACCAACCTTATCACAATTATGGCCACAAAGAGATAAGACATGTGAGGTGTGTTCTGTAGCACAGGTTTTACATGTTTCTTCTTGTGCAGTGCAGTGAGAAAGTAACAGTTTACCCACAATTCAGCCAGAATCACCTTTATCAGATTGTATTACATATATCAACTTTTTTTTTCAGATCTCTATTTGTAATGTGTTCCGCAAAATATAATTACTTTGTGTGTTGGCTTACAAAACATATTATAGCCCAGGAATATCTCTTTCAAGCCTTAGAAATCAGAATTAGTCTAACATTTAATGTTATACGTGATTGAACATACATGGGGGTCCAAAAGTCCAAGACTGCATTAAAAACCTGGAAATAAACAACAGAAATATTATAATAAAAAAAAATGTAAGCAAAGAAAAGTTATGATAAAAAAAGATGAAATATTCAACATTCTGCTCTATTTGTAGGTCACTATTCAAATTTGAACTAATTACATTGACACTGACCATGTTAAAGAGGAATTTACCCAACTTTTCAAATGTTCTGCATAATTAAATCGAATGTATACAAAGTCTTTCGGTGTGGTCTGATGTTAAATGCTCTGTTCAAGACTATTACAGAGTCAGAATTGTTCACAGTGGTGGTGATAGAAACCGGATGTCTGAATAGTTTTAAGTCTGTAAAACCTTTCTTACCGAAAGCTGCTGCATGAAATGCATACAGATACACTTCATGATGTCTGAAATACTATTTTACAATAATTTGGACCTAAAGTTTTGGCCTAAAAATGACTTTTTTTTTTAAAACATCCGTTCATGATAGAGAGGTACAAGATGTTGTAACGCAAAATAGTATCCAAAGAAAACTATTTTACTGCTATCAACTTTGTATATGAAAGGAACTCTACATCTCTGCAGTGAACCATTTTGCATTGAAGCATTAATTTTGCAGAAATTTTGGAAAATCAGTGAAATTCCCCTTTAAGGGCTTTGTACGAAAAGCTCCAATTTTTTTAGTCTTAACCCTTCCATTCAAGCACATGTTCAGATGACTTTCTTTGCGCACCCTGCCATTAAAGAAAAACCAAATGCTCAGAAACTCTGAAATTCATGTAAATATTTCAATTCAGATTCTATGTTTTACTCAAATTATTACACTGATTATATCATTTGTAATGCAACACTTTGTAGTAAATTAGAAAAGAATGCAGAATAGAAGCATTTTCACAAGTGGTCACAGACTTTTGGACTACCCTGTAATTAACTGATGATGAAAATGAATGCATTTTCTTTAACACATTACATAACAGAATCCATGTAGGAGTCTTGTTATAAGATCACTTTTGGACTCCACTGGATCACTGCCCTAATAACACATGATATGCGAAATAAAAAATTCATGGGTGTCTTGAGGCAAGATTTCAGCAGGCTTGTGCTTTCAGATTCCACGGAATCACTCTGATTCACTTTTTTATGCCACAAGTTCATGTTTACTGGCAGGGCTGTTTTTGAACATTTGGAGGCCCTGCTAAGAGGGGGAGAAGAGCACTCACCCCCACCTCACCCATCTTAGTTGTATTATTCTGTATGCAAAAATGACATATGCAAAAAGGATATATAGGTAAACTGTAAGTTTAACTGTAAGTTAAACATGTGAAAAAAAACCATAGAACAACACATACTTGTAGCTTGAGGGTCCTCAACGTCTGATTATAACAGCCCCATTCACTGATGTGTATTGAAACCCCTGCTGAATGTCTTCATTTTAGGACAGTTGAAAGTTTGTACCTTGTGTTTCATCGACTATTGATTGCTGTCATATTTAATTTCTCAGATCATGTCAAAGAGAGCCACAACCAGCCACATGGATACTGAACGCACTGATTCGTCAATCATCAGGATCCCACCACACCACTATATCCATGTGTTGGATCAGAACACCAACATTGCCCGGGTTGAGATTGGACCTCTCACTTACATCCGCCAGGACAATGAGAGGTAGCCTCAGGCACACCACACAAAACACAGTATCTGTATCACAATATCTTTTGTACTGTATCTGAAACAGCATGCATACAAATGAACGTGAAGGTTGTGCTCAGATGGTCCTCATCAGAGTTATGTGATCATAAAATGTATTTGATTATTGAAATCATGTAAACACTGTCTTTAACCATGTGTGTCAATCTCTGACCTTACAATTAATTTCTACCACTGTTCGTTAGAAAACAATTAAAAGTGATGTAAAATCTTTGCCATAGTTTGATTTGATCTAATTTGATTCAGATTTGCCAGATTATTTGGGCACATTTGGGAATTATTTTTTAAAAATAAAACCAAATAGTGGAATAAAAATATACTTTTTAAAAAAATTAGTTTTATGATTGCATTTTTTACAATATCAGAGAATGTTATTTTAACCAAAAAATAAGCTTATACTTCATTGAATATTATTGTCATTGACTTGAATTGATTCTTACATTCCAAAAAATGGTTAAAAAATGTTGAGTTGCTATCTTAAGTCTTTTTTTGCTCTCATGGACTAAATAATGTGTTGTTCCACATTGTGAGTCATATCACTTTTGCAGTAACTGTTTAAGTGCAATTTGATACTATATCAATGTTGTTTCCTAGTTTGGACAATAAGCAGAGAAACCTGAGACGGTATATATTGAGTGATTCTGACTAAAGACCACTGTTCTGCTATAATTTTATAAGGGTGTTAAGGTGATCCTGAGCCAGCACCCTAACTCTAATGAGTTTGACAGTGTCCTCCTGTCCACACAGTTATGCTCATTATAATATGATAATAGGTTCTAATATAATTCTAACCTTAGATCAGCATGCTTGAGAAGTTTAATTCATACACTTGGGCAACTCTGGAGTGGCTCAACGCTAAGCTAAGTAGGTCAAATGGAAAATGTGGGTGTGATCTTTGTTTGTTCAGTCTTCATTGTGGCAGGAAGAGTTCTACCAGTTTTTACATAGGTTATACATTTGATCTGTTGAAGTGCAGAGCTCTAAGGAACAGTGTTTTTACTTTTATGTAGGGCTGGAAGATTAATTGTTCTATAATCAAAGCCAGTATTTAAATCAGAAGAGCTTCAATTTTAACAACAGCATTGTCTTAACAAGTTTTAAGCAGGGAAATTTAACCCAGATTACGCAGAGTTTGTGAACTGCCAGTAGATGAGTTAGATCAATGAAAAGCAACCAAACCCCATGTGCTGTGTACATGACAACACAACCGCAACTGACTGGTGCACTACATTCTGTGTTCAAGCCTTAAGCGAGAAAAAGTGCATCTTCTGGTCTTCAGCTAAATCTTCAGCTGTGTAAACTTCATTGTCATGGACACAGCTTTACATACACTTGTATTTGAATTTGAATAACAATAGGGAGACCTGTGGCTGGTATCAGGTTTCAGACAAATGAGATTAAAGAGACATACAAATGTTCCTTTATGCACTTGTGCTTAACCTGTGTTGAGAGCAAATTGAACAGCAGTCATTACAGTGGAAAAACATGAAATGCAAGGCACAGACAACATTGCTTTTCCATAGTGACATGCAGAATACATGCCATAATGAAAAACAAACCCTCTCTTTTCACGTCGCTTCACCTCTTTACTGAAAAGCAATGCATGATGAGTGATATTTTAAAAATGAATTCTAAATTCTTATCAAAATTGAATACAACCCACTTTAAAATGTAATGAGAACATGGCTATATTGCTTTCCACAGTGCATTCTTTTAAATAGATTGTTCTCAGTGAAAACAGTGAAATACAGTGCACACATGATTACTTTTCCACTGGTGACATGCAGAATACATGCCAAAATGAAAAGCAAGTTACTTAGTTTTCACGTTGCTTGACCTCTTGTTTGCACTTCGTATGTATTTGCCTCATTGAAATGCAACCAAAACAGTAAAATGTGATGCACACATCAGATTTCATTTAAACAGTAACATGCAGAATACATGCCTAAATGAAAGTAAAAGATCCATTAAAATGATATAATGTTGTTTTAAGGACACCATGGTGGAAAGCAGTATAATCTTGCCTTTATTACTTTTTAAGTTGGATTGCCTTTCATTTTTAAAATGCGACTCTTCATGCATTGTTTTTCAGTAAGGAGGTCAAGCAATGTTAATACAATGTGATAGAGGGTTTGTTTTTCATTTTGGCACATATTCTGCATGTCACTGTGGAAAAGTCATGTGCATTGCATTTCACGTTCTTCCTCTGTAGCGATTGATTTTCAATTTGGCACAAATTTCTCTCCATAAACCCGAGGCCCAAACAACAAGCTATATAGGGATGTTTGGGGAACACTGTGTTGTTGAAATTTATCTTGCTATTTTTTTCCTTCAACTTGCCACTTTGCTTGTTTTTTTCTCTATCTTTTCTGATAAATGGCCAAATTCATCAGCTGAATCACCAAGCTCAAAAGTGAACTTTGATTTTGGGTTATAGTGAGAGCAAGCTCTAACATGCACTGTTAGAACTTGTCTGAAGCTATATGTTACATGCTTTATTGCACAATATTCATTTTTTGCTCATATCTAATCTTTCTGCCTTGATGGTTCACTTTCACAGTTTACAGGTGAAATTAGCACAATTTTTTTAAATAAATGTGACCTACAGTCATATATAAACATTTGAACACCCCTGTCAAATTACATGTTTTGTTGATTTTCTGAATGAAAATAAGTTAGCACATCCCCTACAGGGAGCACGCATAAGTGTGACATTTTTTTGCGATTTTGCAAGCAAAATTTCTGTTTGTTTGCTGAGTTTAACATATTTGAATGTAGTCTCTAACCTGAGGGTGACCAAAAAGGCCAAAAAAGACAAAATAATTCACCAATAAAGACAGTAGGTGAGGTTTTGAACTGATTTTTAAAACTGTATTTTATAATATTAGACTAAATTTTGTTATTAACATAGTTAAAATGGAATTTTAAATAAGATTAAAAATTGAATAAGGTATATATCAGTTACATATGTTATATAAGAGTTCGGGTAACTTTCTGGTCGGACAGATTAAACATCCTTATAGACCAACTTTGGCCCACAGGTCACACTTTGAGCACCCTTAACCTGTCTGGCTGATATCTGATTGTATTTTCCTGACTCCTCAAACACCTTTTATCCCCATTGAAGAGTCCTCTTCAATCCGACCCGGATGACCATGATCCCACCCCGCCATTACTGCGTGATTCTGAACCCAGTAGTCCGTGATGATGAATGCCGTGTCCAGTTTGACACTGCTGGCCAGGCTAAACTTCGTCATGCTGACCTGGAGATTCGTCTGGCCCAGGACCCTTTTCCCCTCTACCCTGGAGAAGAGATCCAGAAGGTGTGTGCTCTTACTTCTCTCTAGTGCCTTTTTCAGTTCGTCACAACTGTTTTACAAGAGAAGTGTTTATTAATGGGTTTTAAGTGGAAACCTTGTCTGATCTGACTGAAAAAAACATATATATATATGTATGTATGTGTGTCTATATTGCTGTTATCGGAAGAAAACCTTGTATCTCCAAACTTTAACTTTACAGGAGAAGGAAAAACCTACTTTACTTCTAATGTAAGTCAGTGGAACCAGACGTTTTTCCAAGTCATTTTGGGTCATTTCTTTTAGTCGATTCATCATGAAATTTACACACAATGTAAAAAGCAACGTGCAATTTTATATTAGGTCAAAAACTGAAAAAATGTCAAAAAATGGATATACGAGGTTTTCTTCCAATAACAGTGATATATATTTCATATACTGAATAAAATAACATGACACGTATTCCAAACTTTTCAACTATATTTCTGAACAATTTTTTATACATCTCCACTATTAACAAAATAATTTTTCTCTGTTTTTGTCTTTCAGGATGTGACTCCGCTGCAGATTGTGTATCCTGACACTGCCCTGCGGCTGCAGGCTCTTCTGGACTTTGAGGAGGAGAATGGAGAGAAGAGAGTGGCTGGAGACGAGTGGCTGTTTGAGGGGCCAGGTGACTTTTCACCCTTGTGTTAATTTCCCTTTCTCTCCTAGGAGAATCCAGCATTTAACCGAACAATAAAATCTAATAGCCTCCCTTGTGAATGCTTCAGTGCAAGATGACTCAGAGAAGCATTTTTTGTTCGTTTAAAGTGCCCTTGTCATGGAAAAAAGTCTTGCTTTTATTAAATAAAAGATTTTTATATAGACTGTTAAGGTTTCAAAACATACCATTCATTCCCAACTCAGTGCAGTGCATAAATGGAAACAAAGCTGCTGAAAGATTCTGGTCATAATAGTTTTATTTAGACATCACAGCCATAAATTTACATGTGACTGCCCATTCACACTGAAGTGTTGTGGCATGTTGTTACTGGAGTTATTGGAGTGGGAAGTGAGAAAAAAACTATGCTGTTCCTGACTGTGAGGAAACAATGGATCTGTGCAGCATTCCAAAGGATCCACATATGTGAAAATAATTGTTTCTGATGCCTCAGAAGGTTTCGACCCTACCTTAACAGTTTGTTCTGTACATTTCAGCCCAGACTGCTTTTTAAAAGAGGTACACTACAACTCTAAATGATAAAGAGAAGCTGGAGAATGTTGATATAAAAAAGAATTAAAAATGAAGAACAACACAAACATATTAACTGGACTTCAGGGAAAATGGGTCCTTTAATATGAATTTCTTATTGTGTTAGAGTGATGTAATATTGACCTCTGACCTCCTGCAGGAACATACATCCCCAGAAAGGAGGTGATGGTGCTGGAGACCATCAAGGCCACGGTGATCCGAGAAAACCAGGCCATTCGCCTCCGAGCACGCAAAGAGGGCGTGGACCGCAGTGGAGTCCGCAGAGTGACCGGTTAGACGTGCACCCACACAATCATTGATAAACTGATATTTGTGTATGTGATTAGTTCTTTAGTCATACTGACACATAAATCCTCCTCAGGATATGAGGGTTTACTTGACTTTGTTTTTTGGTTCTTTATGTGGAAACAGTTCCAGAGTTTCATGTAGGCTTTCAGATGGTATCAGTGTCTTTAAGCACCACTTTAGTCCTCTGCTCTTTGTTTTCAATTAGCATAAAATGACTGCAATGACAACATTTCTAATATTTTTTCACAAAAAAAGATTAAGTACATAAACTGTGTCTCATAGAATCTGTAGCCTACGGTAGTATTATATTACTGTATTATTATCATATCAGCGTAATTACATTATGAAATGTTGTGTGTGTGTGACAGGTGAGGAGTGGCAGGTGTGTAAGGTGGGAGCGTACCTGCCTGGGGCACATGAGGAGGTCATCGATATTGTGAATGCTTTCATCCTTACTGACAAGGTAACTAGCATTATCTATTCAATTTTGTCTTCATTTACTCTTCTCTTCCTCTCTCTCTCTCTCTCTCTGTGTATGTGTGTGTGTGTATATATCTGTTCATTATCTCTCTCTCTCTCTCTCTCTGTCTCTCATTCTCAGAAAGCACTGCATGTGCGCGCTCTGCGGCCATTCCGGGATGCTGGTGGACGGGACCGAAGGACAGGGGAGGAGTGGCTTGTGACGCTGGCAGACAGAGAGGCACACATCCCCTCAGTTGCTGAAGAGGTTGTGGGGGTGGTGGATGTGACCACACTGAGCAGCAGACAGTACTGCGTGATTCTGGACCCTGTGGGACCTGATGGCAAGCCCCAGCTTGGACAGAAGAGAGTGGTGAAGGTGCGTTGATCCTCCTCCTCCTTACATCACAGCCACTATGGACTCAGCACCAGCATTGTGATAACGGCTTAATATTTAATATTTAAACTTTTTTATAGTAGTTTCCAAATAATTTGTAGTAGTTAATGAATAATCCTTAAGTCTTAATATTTATAACTCAAAGATTTAAAACTTTTTTAGTTGGGTTAGTTAAGCAGCGAAACCTCTAGTAGTCACTTTTATATATGATATGATTAGAGCAGTTATACCACTTAAACAATTGTATTGTTGATTCCTGAAAAAAACATTTTTGGTGTCATAGTAGTTTTGTGAACGAATGCATATTTGAGAAAGGTGAGTAGAAAAATATGTATATATGTTTTTTATGCAGCCAATGTTAACATACATCTGTGCAGTTAATATTACAAGTGAAGGCTCAAAGTGTTATTTTTACTTGAAATCTGATGTCTCGTCTGTTTTTCACCTTAAAGGGCGAGCGTTCATTCTTCCTGAGGCCTGGTGAGCATCTGGAGAATGGCATTCAGGATGTGTATGTGCTGTCTGAGGAAGAAGGACTGGTGCTGCGTGCTGTGGAGGCCTTCATGGACACAGAGGCGGTGAGACAGACAGACAGAGAGACATCTAAGCAGGGAGAAGGGAGAGGCCAGGCTTTTGTGAAAGGGTAATCAATAAAAGTGCTGCAAAAGGCAAACAGAATAGGGACATTCTCTCTATGATTTAGAGCATACAATATCATACTTGTTCCGCCAGAATGCTGACTGTCTGTTTATTCACCTGTAGCTGTCAGTACTGTCCACACCCCACAAACACACTGCACACACCCTCACGAAACATGCAGCGTTCCAGGAATATCATACGCCTTGTCATTTATCTTTTACATTACTTACATAAAGCAAAGTTCACTTTTTACACTAAAAACTGGAAAAACCAGTAGTCACTAGACCACTAGAATGCTGATTAGATATTTGCATTACCCTTCAAAAGTTTATAATTTTAAATAAGTTGAAATACAGGCATTAATATATATATATATATATATATATATTATTTTATTTTATTTTTTTATTTTTATTTTTTTGATCATTTATTGATCATTTAAGATTTTTGGGGACAGCAAGAAGTTATTAAATAATATATTACAACTATTTTTTGGTAGCACTTAAACACTAAATGGAGATATTAAAATGCCCTTGTAATCTTTTTAAGCCCTAACAAGGTGGTAGTTGGTAATTAATTGGCTGCCCATTACTACATCATTAAGCAGTAAATTGAGTTATTTAAGCAATTTCTTAGGGTGCCCTAATTTGTGTAATAAACAGTTATATGCTGAAGATTGAACACCCTTGTTCAACTTACATGTTTAGTTAATTTTCTAAGTTAGCACATCCCCTGTAGAGAACAAACTTTAAAATGTCATTTTCTGCAAATTTTTAGTGCACTATTTCTATTTATTTGCTGAGTTTAATAAATAAAATTAAAAAATCATAAAAATCGTAACCTTTGCACAGGCCACATTTTACGTTTTTTTTTTTTTCTCCAGTGTGTTCAATTCAGCAAAACAAGCAGTAATTATGCATTAAAATGTGTTCTCTGTAGAGAATGTGTGAACATATTTGAGAAGGGTCTGGCTGCAGACATGCACTCTCAGCCTGACATGCACCGCCAGCCAATTGATGACGTCAGTGCACGCTCTGCCACAACAGTGTTTTTGTCGGTTTTATGAGGAAAAACAGCGAACCACGTACTGCTGGACAACAAGAGTTACACTGAATGTATATTACCATTGTCATACTGATAATAAGGTAATAAAATATGGAAACTTTCAATATAAAACCTACCACAACAATAAGACATGAATGTTGGGTTTATTCACAGAAAAAACAAACAGGCTACTGAAACTCATGAAAGCCATGCTAAAGACGATTAGAGCCGGTTATCAAAGACTGTAGTATTGATTAAAATAGAACTCATTAAGGATTCTAGGAGGCTGTGACAACGTACAGTCAACGCAGTACCGATTACTTTTGCCGTCTCGTCAACGTTGTCACAACCTCCTGGAAAGTGTCAGATGACGTTGTTGTAACTTTCTGAGGAATTACATTTCAGTGTTGTGACAATGTAGAGAGCACCAAGCAGACGACGCTGTGGGCACCAAAACAGTACCTTGTCACAACGTAACTGCGTTTGCCGGGCCGTAAGAAATAAAACCTGATGGTTTTGCTTCCTAACGGGAATTGGCTTAAAGGTGGCCGTTAAAGGCCATTAGGTGTGTGTCATTAAATCAAATGTATGTGGAATCAGTCCCAAAATACCTGATTAAACAATCAGAATCCTTTACACTGTGATATCAACCCATCAGGAAAACACAGAATACCATTAGTGACTACTGAAAACCACCAGGAACCAACAGACACTTTTAATGGGTTCTATGATTTTTTTCAACAGGGAGGTACATTAAATGTAACTCTCTAGCCGTGTTATGGATGAAAAATTGGTAATGATATCGCTAAGCAGCAGCAGCCACAAGTTACCGTGCCATTGGGCTGCTTCTGCCATTGTGGCAGAGAGCGCATGAGCATGTGATGTCACTGGGGCTGAGAGTGCATGTCTGCAGCCAGACTCTATTGACATATTTGCACTTAGAAAATGAACAAAATATGATCTTCCCAGGGGCGCCCAAACTTTTGCAAACAGCCATGTACTATTTCAGTACTCAAGTCTCAAGACCACAATTGAATGGTCTCGGCCAAAACCCCCAAAAATGCTAAAACAAGCAACGTGAATACAGTTCGACTAGTGCCAAGACAAAATCATCTTTAGCCCAAGATCATTTATTTGTTTTGCTAAGACTCAAGTACTACAACACTTTTTATTACACAAAAGTGCTCTGGAAAATGCTTAATTTAGTCTAATTACTGCTTAATGGTGTAGTAATGAGCAACCAGTTAATTACTAATGACCGAATTGATAATGCTTAACAAGAATATTACAAGTGCAATAAATGCTTATTTCATCCTAGTTCATGCTTAATAATGTAATAATAAGCAGCTTGTTAATTAGTAGCTAACGGTATTGGATAAGGCTTAATAATGGCATAAAAAGGGACTTCTATGCAAAAGATTATGATATACAAAACTGAAAAGTGTTTATTGCTTTTTTCACTCTGGTTATTGCTTAATAAGACAGCAATGAGCAGCTAGTTAATTACCAACTACTGGCTTTGTAAGATCTTTACAAGGGTATTATTTTGCCCCCTATGCGGAAGTGTTACCCTACCTATGGATAATAGTACCATTTTACAATAGAACTGCCCATATAAAGTGTGTATAAATAGTTTACAGTTAATTAATAATTTATTTTTATTTAGGACATAAACGTTTTAAAGTCATTAACAAGAACTTATAATACATAAATAAAAGTGCAGCAGTGACCTGTTACATCTGTTGAATATTAATAGCTGATGATGTTGACAAGTATAATAAGACTACCCTTATAAAAAGTATGTAAAAGGTTTAAACTTAATTTAATTATGGTTATTAATTAGGTCACAAACATCTCAAAATCATTAATGAGCAGTTATAAGATATACATAAAAAGGGCAAGGGTGACCTGTTGCTTGCCAAATAGTGAGCCCACTTTCATCTATACTGTTAAAGCTCAGATCTTGCTGGTTACTGATTTTGCTCTGTCTTCTCAGTCAGATAGCATTATTCAGATGTCAGATATTTAAATTCATCAGACATAATAGGTTACAATAACCCTTTTTTATGCATTATGGCTGCTTATTAATGATTTTAACATGCATGAACTAGTTAATAGCCATTTAATAAACTCATTTTAAACCGTTCATAAGCTCTTTATGAGGGTAGTCTTATTGTAAAGTGGAACCTGGATATTTTTTATTAAACAGTTCTGCTTATCAAATCTGATTGTCCAAAGCTGTTGAAAAATACTGAATATATACACAAATGCCCACATAATTAATTGAATTCTGTATTGATGCACCAAGTTATTAAAAACATTGTCTTTGACTCCTGTGCTGCTATGTTGTTATTGCAACCATAGCTTATTGTTAAGAAACTGCATGGCTTGGCAGAAGAATTGTTAACTGTGGTTACTATTTAAGGAGACATAATAATGTGCAGCTATATGTGTGTATAGCAAATATTTGATATATTTGAACTTCACATCATCTCGTAATCATTACTAGACCCACACTTTTGAGTGGTTATTCCAACCTTTTGAATGGTTTTGCGTACAGAAATGCTTTATGAATGCAAGTCCTGATAATGACATAGAAGAGGTTTAGAAAAGAAGATAAATTGAATCGTTCTTTTTTTTATCTCTTCATAGTCTGAATCATTAACTCACCCCCTTCTTTGTCTCTCCCCCTCTTTATTAATTATTTAATCCTCATCTTCCATTTGACAATTCATTTTTTTACATTCTCTTTACTTTGGAATTGTTTTTTTACACTTTTTACTGGTTTCTCCTAACGCTTTCATACACACACACAAACATGCATGCATGTATACACACACAGACACGCACGCAGTGTCCGTCCCCACCCGTTACTGGCCGCTGCCATTGTTCCCCTTCTTTTCTTCTCTGTCTCACCCCCTCTCTCCCCCTCTCTCTCCATCAGCAAGAAGAAGATGGTGAGGAGGAGCAGGAGAAGCGGGGCAAAAGGGCTGGGGTTCAGCGTCGCCCTGGTGACCGCTGGATGCTGCGCGGGCCGATCGAATACGTCCCACCGGCCACTGTGGAGGTCCTGCTGCGTCAGCGGGCCATCCCGCTGGACGAGAACGAGGGAATCTATGTGCGGGACATCAAGACTGGAAAGGTGCGAGGCATAGTCTGGACAGAAGAGCATAAGCTAAGGCACTTCTGAAAGTCACTCTGGCTAAGAGCGTCTGCTAAATGCCACAGGGGAGAGCGCCAGGCTAACCAAGCTTTCTGAAGTAAACAACAACAGAAGTCCCTATGCTGCCCTATAAAGTCAAAACAGTCTATTTTTATGCACAGATTCACATACTATAGATGTCATTTAAATAAAGTATATTTTAGTTTAATCGTGCTGATACTTGCTCTGCTACTAATTTTCATTCATCGTATTTCTTTTGCTGAATAATTTTAATGTGTTTAGGTTCAATAGCTGGTTCAAATAACAGAATGATATTGAAAACTATGTTTTGCATTGATTTATCAGACTTTTTAATAACTGTTACAGCTAGCCTCTCAATTTGTTATAATTATACCCATACTTTACAGACAGTAGGAGCTGGAAACAAAGTATATGTTTTAATTTGAAGCAGAGATAAGCAAGTTGCTTGCACAAAAAAGCAACAGTGTGCCCTGCTCTCCCCTGTATGTAAAGGTTGTAACATGTTATTGCCTTGAGTTGTCTGAGTCAGATCTGGGGCTTGAACTGCCCTGGGCTGTTATTAGGAAGGCTTTTGCAGGTGCCTGCAATGATTGCGGTAGACTCCCTCACAAAAGAAGCATTTTCTAACCTGTGTCCACACCCACAGAAAGCTTGTGTAAAACCACTTGTGAAACATTTATAGAGAATAGTGGACCCTCCCTGCTCCTACAAAGCGCTCTGTTTGACCATATTTGATGGTAGGTAGGTGTCTGATAGCTCTTGAGTAACCAGACCTGTCACAGGTGAGGAAACAGCAAGGGCAAATTCCAAGTGCATTTAAACTGAGAAAAGCATATATATAATTTATCTTTCATTTGAAGTATGGACTGAAGGAGTCTACGTGATGCTTGTATTTTTTTTACCTTTTTATTTTAACTGTTATGAGTCATAAGTGAGGAAACAGAAGGTTTGAAATGCACTTAAGTAAGAAAAGTATACATGTGATTTACTCTTACCTGTAGTAAAATGACTACAGACTATAGAAACTGGTTTATTTAATATGTGAAACTACATAGACAAGAGCAGTAAGGCTGAAATAGACTAAAAGATTCTACCTAATACTTTATTTTTCTATCCCATGGTGCTATGTGCAGGTGCGGGCTGTGATTGGTCACACCTACATGCTGACCCAGGATGAGGAGCTGTGGGAGAAGGAGCTACCCCCGAATGTGGAGGCCCTGCTGACCAGCTCCCGGGACCCGCTGTCTGGACGTTCTGAGCGAGACCAGGGCTTGATTGGCGGCCCCCGAGACAAAACAAGAGTGGTGTCCTTTCGTGTCCCTCATAATGCTGCGGTGCAGGTGTATGACTACAGAGAGAAGAAGGCTAGGTAACAGTGCTTTTCAGTTGCTTAGACTCCCTTGAATTGGAACCATATTAGACACTTTATTGGCTACCAAAGCTAATCCATTACCTTATCTTGAATTTTAGTTTATATTAGCTAAATTAGCTAGCTAATAGGCACTCAAAATAGAACATACACTACATGGACAAATTAACATGGACACTTGAACATCATGTCCATATGTGCTTGTTAAAATTTTCATTCCAAAACCATGATCACTGATAGAGAGTCCCCTCTTTGCTATGATAACATCCTCCCCTCTTTTGAGAAGGCTTTACACTACATTTTGGAATATGGCTATGGAGATTCTCAGGTAGCAGGCAGATGACTTTATGGATTTCATAGTCAGTGTATTTAGCAGCAAAAAGGAAACCAATTTTGAAAAGCTTTCCCTACATATGGTAATTAAATAAACATAATAAACATTTGAATAGACAAATAGACAAACACAGGGGTTTTGCTGGTCCATCATCCCAAATCGCACCTGAGCGTTTCTCTTTAGGTGCTCGTGCATCGCTCTAGTGCTGCTGTAGTGTACGAGGCTGAAGTTGGCCTACTATTCACCAGCTTCTTGTTTGAATTTTCCTGTTTGAAAAAAAAATATGCCTTGATCTAAAATATTGATGTAAATTTCTTTTCAGCACAGACGTCCTTGATTACGTCGACTACCCACTGCAGCCCTAATCGAGGCTGAGCTTGTTGCTCCTACATATTTCTAATTCACAATAACAACACTGGACCAGGGCAGCTCTAGCAGGGCAGATATTCGATGAACTTGTTGAGTGGCATCCTATAACAGGTCCAGCTCAGAGTTTTTTTAGGGTGAACCATTCTACTGCCAGTGTTTGTGTAAGGAGATCACCTGACTGTATGTTTGATTTTATGAAGCTAAAATAGCCATACACACACACACACACACAAACACACACACACACAAATAAACACTCAAAGGTTGGAGTAGAGCCAGGATCAGCTGCTATTTTCTTCTTCCAGAGGCTGAAGGAGTCCTCTTACAGTGTTACATAAGATTTTGTCTACGTAGTCAGACAGGCTAATGGATGTCCAGGGACACTTGCAGTTCCAACAGTGGTGGAATGCTGACTTTTCTGCAAAATTTTCCTTTACCAGTGCTATTCCACACCTGAGTGCTTATTAATGTTTGTTGAGTGTGCACTTATTTTAATATGGCACTTTAACGAACAGGTGCAGGAGGAAGTTGGATATAAACATGAGTCACAATAACTCAATAATAAACATGTTTATTAGAGGCAATTCTGATAATAGTGTCATAATCCAGAACAGGGATCAGTACACATGCAAACGTGCAGTGCCTCGCAACTAGTAACTGAGGAAAAGACTTCTTATACAAAGACACATGAGAAGGTGGTGTTACAAACAAAGCAGGGGTGAAACTAAGAACAATTTGTTATTAAAAGATGGGGTAATTTAGAGGGAGGGGTCAGGATAGAGCCAGGATGGAACAGAGTCCGAATGGGGGCTGAGCCAAGACAAAGAGACCATAACATTTGTTTGATATACTTACATGTGTTAATGTTTAGGTTGAACTGACAACACGTTTTTAACCATGTACATTACTGTGAACATGTCAGAGACCACCCTTCATTTATTTATTTTTAAGTCAAACTGTCCATTTAGTGCTTTTGGCATCAGGCAAAAGCAGAAAACACACATGTAACTCAAAATTAAACAGAAGCCTCAACAACTAAATACGTATTTGATTTTTTCAGTATTTAGTGTGTTCAGTTTTTGCCTTTATTATAGCTTCAGTTCTTTTCAGGAGACTGGCCTTGTGTTTTCAAAGAAATCTACAGAGAACACTTTCTACACTGCCAAAGTTCAGTCTTAGAAGTTGGTCGTATTTTCTGCTTCGCACAAATCAAGTAATCCCCAACACATTCACTGATGTGTGACTGTGGGGGGGTCATTCGATTGTTCTTAGAATACCTGCAACTACGCTTACTTCACGGCTATGCATCCTTTCAGACCCACTGCCTTGAGTTGTCTTCTCACAGTGGAAGGATGGACAAAAACACTGGTAGATTTTTTTTTGGAGCAAGAGTGGAGCTTTTATTCTCTCAAAGATGAACATTTTAGGTGTTGTTTATCTGATGGTGACAGTTTTGGTGGTCTACCAAGTCTTGCACGGTTGGTAGGAGACCCTTTATTTATATTTTTAATAGTTTTTTGAGCTCCAGTTTTGGAAACTCCTGTTTTTTAAACTTATTTTCTTTTGACTTTCCCCTTCCTTATGCAAGTGGATTGCCTTATATCTAACATTCTCAGAAATATTCCCTGTAAAATTAGCACTTAATGGCCATTTGACTGGAAATTAAACTAATGAACAGAGGGCTCTGACTTGTGCACAGCACCATATTTATTTGAGTAACTGTAATGACATTTATTTTTAAATAAGCAATAAAGCATTGCTAAAACAAAATCTCTCTCTCTCTCTCTCTCTCTCTCTCTCTCTCTCTCTGTCTCTCTCTCTCTCTCTCTCTCTCTCTCTGTCTCTCTCTCTCTTTCTCTCTCTCTCTTGCTCTCTCTCTCTCTCTCAGGGTGGTGTTTGGGCCTGATCTGGTGATGTTGGGCCCAGATGAGCAGTTCACCGTTCTGTCCTTGTCGGGAGACAAACCCAAGCGGGCCAACGTCATTAAAGCAATCTGTCTGCTGCTCGGCCCCGACTTCTGCACAGACATAATCACCATAGAAACTGCAGACCATGCCCGTCTGCAACTCCAGCTCTCATACAACTGGTAATATGCCTGTCTCTCTGTCTGTCTGGATTTTTTTTACACTGGCTCTTTTTGCACACTTATGGGCAGGATCATCCCTGAGGGAAAAAAAAAACTAATTTGCTTATCAGTGCAGCAAAAATGCTGTATAGCTAGCAGTGCCCTGCAGCAAGATGTGTCTGTTGACTCTGCCTTATGATGACCATAAAAAAGAGTGCTTATTCAGACAGGACTGCCTGAATAACTGCAGACATACATAGTATGCCACAGCATACATTAGTGTGCTGATTTGTTTTTCTTGCCATTTCAATGGCCAGACAACCATAAAATCATTCCCACAGTCTTTATCAATCCATCAGTATCTCTCAGGCCTTCATTTTTTGCTTACTCTCTGCTTTCATTCTGTTAGTCCCCTTTTCACAACAACAGAAGCCTTTCTCTTAGAGTTAGCATCAATGGTGATGCAAGTTTTTTTTTTCCTCACTGAAGTATCTGTTAGATTTAAAATAGATCAGTCAGGTTTAAGGTTAAAATCTAATTTACACAATTTTCCTCTTAGCCTAAATGTAGTCATTCAGCCAAGATATGGTTTCTGTCTGAAGTTTGCTTCTTTTGTTAGGCTCTTGAACTATGAGGCTAATGTAGCTAAAAAGTAGCTGCATATGACCACCAATAAGCAATAAACACACATGATCACACACATACCTCAAACCCCATAAGGCAATTTTTAAGTAATTACATTAAAGTAATCTCAAATAGGCTTGGTTTATAACACTGTATGACATACTGTTATCTATGAAAATGAACAAAAATATGGACAAAATTCAGTCTTCCATATATGCATGTTTTTAACTTGGTGATGTACGTTTGTCCATGTGTTTTTCTACCACAGAGCATGAACATCCTGTCTATGGTGCATGAATTAAGTTGTCTCTCTCTCGCCCCCTCCCCATCACCAGGCACTTTGATATAAAGAACCGCTCAGACCCTGCACAGGCTACAGCCTTGTTCTCTGTTCCGGACTTTGTGGGTGATGCTTGTAAGGCCATCGCTTCCAGGATCAGAGGAGCTGTGGCTTCAGTGCAGTTTGATGACTTCCACAAGGTGTGTCTCAAAGTCAGCTTTATTCCTTCCCACCACAGCCAGAAGGAATGAAATACAGTTCCTCTGGAAGACAGTGATTCATTTAACTCAGAACAGAAGCTGAGCAGTACAAACATCAATAAATACAGACAATAGATTATATAAAAGGCTATATAATAACATATGCTCAAATAAAGAACTCCTGCCAAAGCTGATTTTCCCTATAGGAAAAAAACTTTGTTTTCAGAAATGGCCGCTATCATAATCATGTAATGTCATGTAGTAAACTAAAATGTTCCAAACCTGATACGTTTTGTCCAGCTTAGATTTACCCCCCAATGTCACTTTATCCTCTGAATTAAAAGGTTGTTAAAGATTTAAATTAAGAATATCCTACGTCTGGGCTGTTCTTACCAACAAGACAAAACCTGGGACCCGACTGTAAAAAATTAAACTTAATGTTTTCTGTTTTGGCTATACAAACAATGATGTCTGGTTAAATAATTAAACATAAACTTGAATTATTTCATTGATTTTTAGTAACATTTCCCAATTTAAGTCACCAAATTCTCAGTACCGTAACACAGAAAGAATTGAGGATAATCTGTAAATGTTTTGTTTGTCCCCAAATTTTCTTTTTAAAATCGGAATACAACTGTTGAACTACATAAAGCTTATTATTGAACATATATTTCACAAAATAAGGTATTTTGCAATTATATCTCATTACCACAAATTGACAGTCACAGAGGTTTCTTTTTTCTTCTGCCATATAACATTTTGTTGCTTTGATTAACCTCCTCAGAGTTTAAAAGTGCAACATTAAAGTTGAGAGATTCAACAGTTAGCAATAATATATACACATTTTTTGTAATTATAAAAGGCAAAAAATTATAAATGTCTGTAATGAGAAACAGATATGTGGATACATAATAAAAACTAGGCTAAACAAATATGAACAATTAAGAATTTAGTCACTTGCTGGACTGTATAGAGCTTTGACTGACCTACTAAATTATATGAATTTTGTTTGTCTTCATGATGATTGTGCCACTCAAATATTTATTGACATGGTTTGAAGTACTTTCGTGAGATTGACCTGTCTATGCTACAAGCAAACTAACACTATTGTGAACTGAACTGACGCAATAAAATAACTAAAAAACTAAAATAACCCTATGCAACCCAGCAGGCTTTGTCAGATAGGTAGTGAAAGTAGTGAAGTTGCTTTAGCAGCAGTAGCCTAGTAGTAGAGGTTGTTGTTGTAAAATAATGTATTTCCACTCCGTAATGACCCCAAAATTCAGAGAATCCTGTGTCATTCTGGGGGAAAATGCACACAGGACAAAATGTATCAGGTTTGGAACATTTGGGCTTACTACAGGGTACAATAGCAGTAAATTAAAAAAAGCCTTTCGTTTTTCCCCATAAAGAAAATCTGCTTAGACCTGGAGTTCCTCGTACGGCCATGATGCTGCCTACAAACTATTGTCACTACTTCATTAAGAACAGGACAGTAAAGATTAGACAACAAAGAGTGGACAGTAAGGTGGGGGAAAATAAAACATCTGATCTTCCTCAGCAGCAGTGACTGTTTGTATATGTGCTGTTATCAGTGCATACTGAAAATAGTCCTTAGTCCATTTGAATGATGCACTGCCTGATAATTGTGTTTCCTCTTCTGACATGGTCACTTGTTTTCCCATATGGTTCTTTAACACACTCTCTAAAATTAGAATGACATTTGCCAGTGCACAAGCCACACTGAACGCTCGGTACGACCACTTTCTCTCTCCACTCTGACACAAACATTCAAACAGTGATGTGTGCAGAATCAGCTGTCTGCTGTTCTCGTATCATATATTTACTTTCATATCATAATGAAACCATCAGAACGAGAAGTGGGAGATTTGAGGTCAGCAGGTCTATTAAACTGATGTACCATGGAGTACTCTGTTGTTTATAATGTCAAGGTTGTAGTGCTAGCGTCCATTTCCTCATCTGACGTAGCAGTTCTACTTGGATTGCCAGTATATTATTTGTTATTTATTATCGCAATATTAGTCTTTGCAGTACTGATATCGTAAAAGGCTGCAACAAAGCAGTATTGTATCATGAGCATGCTGACCAATCACACGGTGCGCACAGGTTTTTCTGGGTGTTGGTTTAGGTGCATCAAGACATTCAAGATCTTTTTTTCCCAGCATTTTTCAAACAGATCACTCTCTGCCTTGCCTGTATCATACAGCTGATTACCATGGATGACAATTTGCACTTGTTTTTACTGCTTTTAGAAAAGAACAGAAACCGAGTGACTTGCAAAACACTTACATTAGTATCAGAATTTTTTTGTTCATTGCAAAGTACAAGGAATCTGCCAGTGGTAGCTGACAATACGACACAGGTGTGGCAGATACAGATTTTTAAAAATGTTGAAAATGCTGGAGTTTCCGTTTAACTACATCTCGCATTCATTAATGTGTTTTTAATATACTGCAAGCAACATCGCAATCACAGTATGTAGCAATGCAGCCATATTATGGTAGGTCTACTTTGTCCATATCATGTAGATCTAATCTCTACACATGCCCCCCCTCCAGAACTCAAATCGGATCATCTGCTCAGCCGTGTTCGGCTTTGATGAGAAGCTGGCGGTGCGTTCCAGTTTGCGCTTTGGTCAGAATGGCCTGGTCATCAGCAGTGTGGACATCCAGTCTGTGGAGCCTGTTGACCAGCGCACACGAGACGCCCTGCAGAAGAGTGTCCAGCTGGCCATTGAGATCACCACCAACTCTCAGGAAGCGGCTGCCCGGTCAGTGCACAACTTTGAGTTTTTAGTTTTATTTGTTTCCTTTCTCTGTTGTTTTTCTTCTGTGTACGTTTTGGTTTGTGCTGTATTGTTGGTTCATACTGAGAGATGTTTGCCCTCATTTGTTAATGTTGGGTCAAACTCCAGTCCTTAGCATTCTGCCTGATTAAACATCATCAGCTAATTAGCAAGGCCGTCATGAGCATTAGAAGAAGGCAAGGAAAACCATGCAGTGCTGTGGCCCTGAAAGAGCCCAGTTTGACACCTCTGATATAAAGAACACCACTCTGTTGATAAAGTTATTAAAGCCCTTCAACTGCAAGGGTCTCTATGCAGACCCATACTTCAGCACTGCAAAAAATGGTATCTGAAATTATCTTAAAACTCGTCAATATATGTAATACTTCTCATTTTGAGATTGTTGCAAGCTTATTGTAAGACTACTTAACATATATTTTTTACTTGCTTTGAGTGATTTAAGTCAAATTATCTCACTCTATTGGCATGTAATAACTTGTTTCAAGCACATTATTTCAAGCAATCAGCCACTCAACTACATTGAAGATAATTTCACTTGACAAAATACCAATTTTGCAGTAAATTCCTCACTCTCATAACTACCTAACTTTAATAAAGAGCTCCTTTCAGCTGCTCAGATTGCTTTGCAATGAAATAATGAGGTTAAAAAATAAGACAGAAACAGGAAAAAATAATCATATAAATGAAATAAAACACAGTCAAGCAAAATAAAACCGGTAAAAGCAGATAATTTTAAATTAAAACAGCTGAACTAAAAATACATGTTTTTCAAATATATCTTAAAAGTGTGTCCTGAACTTGACTAACTAACTGTAAAATGTTTAGAAGCAATAATTGCAAAATGAGGCCTCTTCACATTTAAGTTTTATAGTGGTTACTGAATAATTTATAGTAGTTATTGAATAATAGTAATAGTTAAGGCGTTCAGAAGTTACAGATGGCATACGTCTTCAAATGAGACTCATCCCATCTGTGCTGTGACCCTGCCATTATGATTAATGAATGGATTAAAAAGCTGTTTCGTTTACATAGTTTACTCAGTCTCATTTGCTCACTCTCATTTGATCACTTGCGGTGTTTCTCTCTCAGACATGAGGCAGAGCGTCTGGAGCAGGAGGCTCGTGGCCGACTGGAGAGGCAGAGGATCACTGACCAGGCTGAGGCTGAGAGGGCCAGGAAAGAGCTGCTGGAGCTGGAGGCTCTCAGGTAACACAGCAGAGGAGAGACTGGCTGAATTTCTTCCAGACATGTAGGCTAATATTTATCTAAACAAAAAGGAAAGCTGCAGTTAGTAGTTGGTACACAGGGACACCTATTACACTGTTTACATCAGAGTAATGCAGGACTGCAGAAGAACAGGTTTAAAAATGTATCATTGGCAAAACTCATCTTAAAAACTGTACATAGCTGACGGTGAATGCAAAAATAAGGACCACATTATTGAGCTTACAACATCTGTAACTTGTGGAAAGCATAATAAAGTGTATTTAAATGTATAATCAATAATACAAAGTATGATGCTTCTAAAATGGATGCTTAATGTCCTCTGTGGCAGCCTCACCTAAGTGTGTGTGTGTTTGTGTGTGTGTTCGTTTGTTCTCATACATTGTCAGGACATCTGTCCTGACAATGTAGGAAAACCAAGGGAAAATCAAGAAAGTGCTCCTGACTTTGTAAAGTGCTTTTTTTTTATTGAAGCTGTTTAAACATAAAAGAACAAAACTGATTATTTTCGTTATTAAGGTTAAGGTTACGGTGAGGTTTAGGATCATATAAAGATTAGATTACATGTAGGTGCCATATAGGTGCTTATATTTATACCTGTACAAACACATATATACATACACATACTTGGTATGTGTTTATTACAGTGGATATAAAAAGTCTTCACACTCTTATTAAAACTGCAGGACTTTGTGATGTAAAGCCAGATTTTGAGATAAATCACATCAGACATTTTTCCATTTTTAATAAGAACCAACAACATTCAAGAGAAAAAGAAACAAATAGACAATTATATAATAAAAATAATTGAAAATATAAAACATATATACTAACCCTAAAAACTTTGCTGAAGCACCATTTGTATTTATTGCAGCAGGAAGTCAGTAAATAAATAAGTCCTTACATCTTTAATTTTAGCCCATTCTTTCGTTGCAAAAAAAGCTTAAGCTTCAAACTGCCAGGTGACCTCCTTTCTCAGCTTTCTATGGGATTGATGTCTGGGCTCTAACTGGGCCGTTCTAAGACACTGGCCTTCCTTTTTGAAACCATCCCTTGGTTGACTTGGATGTGGGATTTGGATCATTATCACGTCAGAAGGTGAAATTCCTCTTCATCACGTTTTGTGGAAAAATATCTTCATATTTAGAGCTAGTCATTATCCCAACTGTCTTGCCTAAAGCTGCTGTCCCTGCTGAAGAGAAGCAGCTCCAAAACATGATGCTACCACCACCGTGCTTCACAGTAGGTGTTCTTTAGTTGATGAGCTATTTTGTATTTTAGAATTCGGGGTGAACATTTAAAATTTTGCCTCATCAGGTAGTTTTGGGTGATTAATGTATTAATATTAGATTTAAATTAGATGGGCTTGTATCTTTTCTGTGAAAAAATGTTTTTTTTTTCTGCTATACCCTATATATTCCAGACATATGCAGAATATTGGGGAATGTTGTCACAGGCAAGGAGTGGCCAGTACCTGCCAGAAATCTCTCCAGCTTTTTTATGATTGATGTAGGCCTCTTGGTAGCATGCCTGAGAATTTTCTTCTTGTCCTGTCAGATTTTGAGGATTTTCTTGACCTTGGCAATGTTCCTGTGGTACTACATGCTTTCCACTTATTGATGAGAGTCTTCACAGTGCTCTGTGGTACATTTAGTTTTTTACAGTCTTTTGTACCATTTGTCAGCTTCTCACGGACCAAAGCAATCCGCTAAGGATGCAGTCATGAAAATTCCACAAGCAGCTAATTTTGATTTTGGGTTGGTCAGAGTACTTGCGATGAAGGCAGGTGTATGCTACATATCTATGGACATCATTTTGAATGTGCTTTGTTAAGCTACAGCCCATATTATAAAGCGCTGTGCATACTTGTGCTGCCAGGGTGTTGTAGGGTTTTATCAATTGATTTTCCCTATTATCTTTTTGTTTTTCTTGTATTTTGTTGGTTGTAGAATCTTACTGAAGAAGGTAAAATGTTTGCTATGATTCATCTTAATGGCTTTACATCACAAAAAGAACTGCCATTTTAATGAGTGTCTTTTACACTTTTGTAGACTTCATATGTCCTGATGTTGTCTGAAATGTGTGTGTTTGTGTGTTCAGCGCTGCAGTGGAGAGTACAGGAGCAGCAAAGGCAGAGGCTCAGTCCAGGGCAGAAGCAGCACGTATCCAGGGTGAGGCAGCTGTCAGCGAGGCCAAGCTCAAGGCTGAGGCCCAGAGAATAGAAGCAGTATGTCAGTCTCTCTTGACTCATCCTTTATTATTTACTATTCCTGACTTTCTCTCTCACCATGCATCATTTCAACATCTCACCATAATACTGTCTGCTGCACTGATGCATAGCAGCCTTGGGGAAAAAAGCAAGCAGTGGCCTTCAATGGCTAATTAAATCCCTTGTCACCTTTTTCTCTCTCTTGCCTTCGTTATCTGTTCTTTTTAATTGGACACCAGAATTATTCATTCATTATCCTGTTTGTCTTCATGTAGCATTCATCTGCCGCAGGGTTGCACAATATATAGTTTAATACTCATTGCCTGAGTGTTGGACTTTGTGATACTGATCTCGTAGATGCCTGCAGAATTCATGTATTCATTACAAATAAATTTATATTTGCTTTATCATTTGAATTGTTCCAGAGTTTCTGTGGGTCTTTTGGTGAATCAGTATAGCAGCATATTCCAGACGTTTTTCAAATTCAAATGAAAATTTGAAAATGCTAATTAACATGGATATTTACAGTTTTCCATGTGAGTGTGCATTATTTAAGACACTCAAATTCAAATGCAAAATGTAGGATTGCAGACACAAGTTCTCTTAGTAGGCCAGGAATCACACAAAACAACAGTGAATCACTTTGGACATAATGATCCTCGCCCTAGTTGGCGAATGTAAAATGTCACTAATAGCGGTTCAATCTACAGTGTATCAGGACATAGAACAATGCACAAGGCAAATCGCAATTACGAGATAATTGCAATATATTCTTTCTGTCGTACATGTCTGCTCTGATCCTCTTAAACATATTTAGTTTTTAAAGTTAAAGAGAATATTGTGCATTCTGAAAGCATGTATCCAGTGCCTTCATGTGACTTTAAGACACAGTTGCATTACCTCCCCATCCTTCTGCCTTTGCTGTCCTGCAGGAGGCCGAGCTGGAGCGCCTGTCAAAAGCGCGGGATCAGGAGCTCAGCTATAAGAAGGAAATAGATCGTCTGGAGGTGGAGAAACAGCAGAAACTGGCTGAGATTGAGAGCCAGCGCTTCAAACAGCTTGTTGACGCCATTGGCAGCGGCACTCTGACGGAGATGGCTAGAGCTGGTCCAGAGCTGCAGGTAAACCTCTCGATCACACACGCACCTCCTCCCATGGGTGGCACAACATGCTTTGGATAAGTGGGGTCAAGCAAATCAGGCATTGTTTTGCAGTGCTTCATTCTTTTGTCCCACAGCATTCACTCACTGCAGCCTACATTGCTACTGAAACATTACTCTCATGAAAAATTGTTTTTTTTTTATGCCATCGATTGTGATACAGATAGATCTAGTAGGCCTTCAAGTTATGTTAAAGGAATAGTTTGACAAAAAATCTAATTTGCTTAAATTTTCACTTACTCCAGAAATAGTCAGTCAGCTAAGACACGTTCAGCTTATCTTAGTTTAGCCCTGGAACTATGAGGCTAACATTGCTAACAATCACAAGAAGTGAGTAGTCACCTAAATCTTTTCTGTAAATACATCCCCAAAACTTCTTTCGACCTGCATAAACCTGTCATGCAGATATTTCTGTGTGGGTTAGGACTCATTACAACTCACTGTGAGCCAAAAGAACTGACAAAAGCAACAGGTAGGTGTTTTAGACAACAGGTCCTGTGCCGAATTCTGAAATCCCCACAGAATTGTGCATTTATTATGCAGTTATTTAACACTAGAAATCACGAATGTAATTCAGCACAATACTAGTTGTCTGAAAAGGCTGCTCACTATGGTAAGCTACACAATGACATTTTGTTAGTCATAGTTAATAGTTGACAGTAAACCATATTGCACTAAGCCATGTTCCCCAACCATGTGCACTAAAATCAGTGTGATCTTAATAAAGACACTAGTGCGGTTTGAGCAAGGTGGGAAAAATTTTGGGGATGTAGCTCCAGTTATAAATTAAAGAAGCAAAGTTTGGATAAAACATTCATACCAAGAATATGTGTGGAATACAAACTGGGCTTCACACAGTGAAAACATAGTGAAAGATCATTGACCCACTGGATTACAGGTAGCTTTTGCCTGGAATGTGAACTGATTCAATCTGTAGTCCAGCCCATACAATTAGTAAAAAAAAAAGAAGGCGGCTTGAATATTTGGACAAACATGGTCACATTATCACTAATCAGTTGCTTTGATTGGAAGTATTGCTTGATTGGGAGTATTGCTTGAACTCACCCTAATCCTAAACCACTAACCCTTATCTGACTTTTTCGATGTGTCATGTTGCATACGTAATCTTAAGTGAAGATAATGCAATGCAAAGTGAACACGTCATTATGTGGGCCATTAGTTCAGCATTGATGTAGTGATGTAGGTCAAAGGTTCTGTTCCAAAGCTTTATTGTTCCAAACCGCAGTGCATTTCTCATTATGTTGCTTAACCATAAATGCCCTAGACAATGACCAAGGCTGCTATGAGTCATCAAACTGTTGCTATTACAAAATAGTAAATGCAATTAGAAGGAAACAATTTAAGATTACTCTGAGTATGATCCCGTAAACTATAATAAACATGGCCTTGTCATAGATCACAAACCACATAAAGGATGCCTTGTCTATATACTGAAGGGCAGTGTATCCAACCTCCAGCCCTGTTGTCCACCTGCACTGCACACTCCACACCTGCCTCAGCACAGGAAGATTTTGATTATTCATGATGTGAGATGCAGGAAAACAGTGCAGGTGCCCTACAGGCCTGGAGGAGGAAAATACTGAGCTAGACATTTTTATTTCAAATTCGCCAACAAATTTCAGTATTTCAAGCACTTAAAAGTGTGAAAAAAAATGTGTGTTCTGATTTTTTTTTTCTGGAAAAGCTTAAAAATGTTTTGGTATTTACATTCATACCATGTCATAACTGGACCTCAGGATTTAAAATAAATACAACGAGCCCTGTAACATACTAATGTTGTTTACTTCAAAGGAGGGCTGGGAAACTTCAAGGGTCTAAAACTTGGCTCTGGAATTTCAGTGCTTTGACCATTTTCTCTCTCCCTCTCTCTCTAGGTGAAGTTGCTGCAGGCTCTGGGTCTGAAGTCCACTCTGATCACAGATGGCTCCTCTCCCATCAATCTGTTCACTACCGCCAACGGCCTGCTGGGGGCGATAAAGGGTAGTGAGGATCACTAGAGGAGCAAAGGGAGCAAGAGGAAACGATGATACAGAAGCAATTTACTGCAATTATATCAGATGTGCCTGAATAAAACTTCCTATGCTGTATATCACTCTGTGCAAACCTTAATGTTTGTTCCATTTTGGTTAGTTATATCTTTTCCCTTCCCTTATTCCTGACCAATATTGCACTCCAACTATAAAAGCAGTCTAATAGTGCAGGACTGGGCCTTTTCTCTGCCTTATTTTCCTTAAACCATGTGGCTTTTACCAGTGCTGCTGTTAATGCGGTAATGTAGCCTTTGCTCATGTTCTTCTTATCACCCACTACAGTTTGTGGCAAATATTTGGACGTGATTAACTGGATTTCTTTATGACTTACATGAATGAAACGTTTAAAATGTCCTACGCTGAGGCCCAAACATGCAATGAACCCAAAGATAGATGTCTGTATGATGCACTTTTCAAAATCTAATAAATTTTTGGGAGTCTGTGTGGTCCTGCTATTATCATTTCACTGGTATACTCCTACTGCCTTTGTTAATGGTCAGCCATTAGCATTAAAGTGACACAGCCACTGCACAAATACTGCACAAACCCACCATCCACATGCAGAAATAAGACTGTTTTAAGTAGAGCAGTGTGTGTAATGTGTGTGACTATATGGAAAATGTTAAAAATGAATAAATAATTGCTGGTTTAATTGCATCATAAATTCATGCTATGCATCCATGTTACCTCTCCTCAGAGCACAAACAAACTGGACCACTTTCTACATGGCCAAAGCTAAAAAAAAAAATGCGTAGCACTGTAAGTTATTAAATGATGAGAAAAATGCTCAAGGTAAAATCCCAATTTTTTCCATCACTTCTTTTTTAATGAAACAAATTTACAGCAGGTTCAAAGCAAGACAGCACAAACAGCAGATGGCAATGAAATCACAATCACAGATTTTAACAGCTGTCGGTGTCAAAGAGGAGTAGCTTCCACACGCCGTTAGGACAAAACTGGAGCTGCTGTGCAACTACGTGACCAACCAAGATCATAACATTTTAGTAGATTATTTTTTTCAAATAGTTTAAAATGCTACAGAAAGTGCGAGTGGGAGTGATTTGACTGGATCTTTATGGAGCATATGTTTCACTCACATGCACACAGTCCACTCATTAAAAAGGTCAAGCTTGTGATTTGATGGACGTTAGATGGGTGTAGGCACACCAGCTGTCTTCCAGTGTGGACTGAAACACTAATTAAAATGGAAGTTTATCTGTTCAATCAGGCGGATGACAAATATTACTGTTTTTAATGGTGATTTTGAGAATTAGTATTTAGGTATTCTTTTGAAAATACCATTGAGTATTCAAAGCCTGTAAATAATGTTCAGACAAGCCCTAAGCACAATGTATGCTTAAAGGAATAGTAGCTAGCAGCTATATTGAAGCATGAAATGTTTATGTTATTATTTGGATATTTTTGTGAGATTTTTATGTCACAGAAAGCGCATATCTGTTTTACTTAACAACAATCGCAGCAAGGACTAAAAAATTTAGGCATGCAGATTGCATGATGCTTGCAGCAAATGTTGTGTTTGGGAAGCTGACATGCTGCTCAGCAGCACTGAAAGCTGTTATACTGAGCACCATCAAAACCAGAATATGTTGTGTTTTGGATGCTGATCAACCAGCATCACCATGCTGGTTCACCAGCATACCAACACTATACCAGTACAAACCTGAAATGCATGCTGGTATAAACTTTTTCATCCTCTCTTTTTTCAACAGGGACATTAGCCATGTGGTTTCAGCACAAACTAAAGAAGCAAACTTCAGACATCAAATGTCTCGGTTGCTCAACTTTCTTTTGTGGAAGAGTAAAAAGTGTGTACATTTGACTTTCCACCATCACTTTAAAGGGGAATTTCATTGATTTTTCAAAATTTCTGTACACCTCAGTCTTTGAGACGTAACCAAAACCATTCAGGGTGGTCTGATGTGAAATGGTTTGTTGTAGAGAAACTTACCAACTCTTTTTTTCTTTACAATGGTGGTACCGGTGACATTAACCAGGGTTGTGATGTCTACAACACAGAGATAGCCACTTTACTTACTATCCAAAACCACTAGTGAACCTACATGTGTCTTCTGAGTATTTATGGCTTATGTAATGCTGTTAATGGTAAAACAGGCCTTAAACCCCTCAGACATCCGGTTCCTGTCACCACCACTGTGAACAATTTTGACTTAATAAGTTTCAAGCCATTTTGAAGGATCTTGTCTACATATTAACCACTTAATTACTCAGAAATTTTGAAAAATCAGTGGCATTCCCTTTAAGTGCTCAGCATTTTAAAACTGCATAGGACCTCTTAGGACTTATGAATAAGAAATTCTCTATCCTGCACGAAATACCCAGAAGACCATCTCTCACTTCAAGCCCATGCAGTTTCACTATGATGTTGAAAGCCTGGAAGTTCACACGAGTCCACTCTAGACTGCAAAGCAGCATCTGCCACAGTGTGGACCCAGGCTATGACTGTCCTTTTTCTGGCACACGTCCTGTAGCCTACATCTTCCCAGCTAGAGAGGCTATGTTATGATGGAGGGACTCGTTTGCTTTGGCATCTTTGTCTTTTAGGCCTTATTGCCAAGCACGCCCGAGTTTCCACCAGGTAATACAGCCCGTTTAGCGCGGGAAATGGGTCACAGCTGAGCAGTGGCGCCTGATCTGAATAATAAGAAGCCCTTGCTGAGGCTACACGCCCCGCAAACCTGCAAGCAGAGAGCTCATGAAATATTCTCACTGGCATCTAAGCACATGGGATGTTCCCAATAAGCAAAGCAAACCTCCTGTCTTTTAGACTGTGTAGCCGGTGTGAGGTGCATGAAGTGGGGAAATCTGGTGGGTAATAAGCTTGGCGGAATGATATGAACTTAATCAGCAGAAAATATGCGAGGAAAGTCGCGGTGCAGTTCCTCGCGCCTCTAGCAAAATTAGCCAGCACACTCCCTCCTTGCATGCTCACGACCCCCGCCCCCCCACCCGAACACACACACACACACACACACACACAGAGTGAGGGGAGTGCTGCTGAGACAGACGGAGAGGCGCAGTGGAACACATGCAGTAGGTTCTCCAGCCTGCTTTTCTACTATTTACGCTGAAACTAGCTTTAGCGTAGCTCTTCTTTTCTCCATCTTCAGCCTTCTGTGGATTTAATCTCCTCGCGCCACGCACCGCTGCGTTCCTCCAGCATGAGAGCGCTGCTTGGAATATTCAGTCGGGTCTCGCGCTAGAAAAAGGTGGGTGCAGTTCGGGTGTTAAGCTCGCTGCTGCTGCTTTATGCTTCATTAACGCTCAGTGATTTATGCAGCATGCTGTGCAGGACAGTGTGTAGTCTCGTGGGTGTGTCACGCTCCTTTTCGTGCTCGTGTGCCCCCCAGACCCAAACACTGAATTGACTGCCCACAGCGCTGGTGATAGTAGGTGAGCATGTAATGGTGTAGCTGTGTACACAAATCAGCATGAAGTTGGTAACATATGGACACAATATGTCATTTCTATGCAGTGAGGTGAGATTGTCCCTTCTGGAGAAGATCTGTGGCCATTTTTATAGGAATTCCTTATTATTAGTCTTATATTTAGTTCAAACAATGACAATAGTTTATTACAGGATGTGTGAGACAATTATCGTAGATTATTATTTAGACAGTATGACAGGGCTATCACACAAAGGTAAACATATAGGTTATTATAGAACTATTATTACACTATAGAAATATTATAGTATTGCCATAGATCTTTTGAAAGGGGTGTGGATTTATGCATTTCACCTAGCAATTGTGCCTCTGGAGACGGGTGTGTCGTCTCCTTTCCCCCCCTTTTTTCTTTCTCTCTCACAAACAGAATAGAAAATGACTGATATTCTTCAGTATTCCTGCCAAATGCTGCTCGGTACTGGATGTATACCCCACATTTACTCCTTTAGAAGGCATATCTTGCATAACCCCATGCCATGTGTTTATGAGTGGGTGGGCAGGTAAGGTGAGGTAGATGTAATGCATAAAAGATCTTTGGGGTAACAGAGAAAATTTCACTGAGACTTTTTTGCCACAGGATAATAATGCTCACTTAAAATCTATAGTAAGTGTTGTGAGCCACTTCAGTCCGAGTAATGGACCCACAAAATAAGATAATCAATATGTAATGTGGTTCTTACAACATATAACCCACATTCTGGGCGCCCAGCGGTAGAGCCAGGATTCTGTTGAAATATGGTTTAGTAGTAAGCATTGTGAGCCAGTAGTATTCGGAGAGCCACATAATAAGAACAGACTTGTGTGATTTGCTTTTGATTGTATGTAGTGATGGTCACATATACAGGTGTTGCCTCTTGGGCCAAACAGAAGGTTTTTGTGGGAGATTTTAGCCCACATTTTGTGTAGCCCAGCACTAGAGCCTACATTCAGTTGATGCATTCAGCCTGCTGGGGTTCGAATCTGCATCCTGTGGGTTTCAGAGCACAGCGACTGTGGGAGGAGAACACAGCAAGCTGTCTGCTCTGCTCAGTCAGGACTGCTTGTTTGTCTCTTGATCTACAGGCAGATTTCTTCTCTCAGCATATTGTAACACTGGCAGATGTACTGACTGTGGTGTCAGGTTAGGTAAAGGACAAACAGAGAAAATGAGACAGAACCATGGCTGGATCTGTTTCACTTGAGTCAGACTTTTAGGTGACCGTGCAAGGAGATGGCTTTAAAGGCACATTTAGGGACTGCTGAAACAGCAACATTGCCACCGCAGCTAGCACTACAATTACTGATGTATAGTGATAAATGCAAAATGTCATCCCTTTTGTAACACAACCAACATTTCTTAACATGTTATAGAAAGAAGAGTTTGATGTAGTTAAGTGTGTAAAGATTGTTAAAGTTTCCAAACCATGGAAATTCTTCTTCCAGTCTATACAGTCCATATATAGAAAGCAAGCTGTTCTGAATTCTGTGCTTTTGTGGTATCACAACACATTTCCATATATCTGCAGTTAGCGGTTTAGCTCCGCCCATTTAGACTGAAATTATAAGGGGTGTTTTAACACACCTGACAGGGATATCATACAAAGGTAAACATAAAGGTTATTATAGAACTATTATTACACTATAGAAATATTATAGTATTGCCATAGATTTTTTTTTTTTTTTTGAAAGCGGTGTGGATTTATGCACTTCACCTGGAGACGGGTGTGTCGCCCCTTTTTTTTTCTTTCTCTCTCACAAACAGAATAGAAAATGACTGATATTCTTCAGTATTCCTGCCAAATGCTGCTCGGTACAGGATGTATACCCCACATTCACTCCTTTAGAAGGCATGTCTTGCATAACACCATGCCATGTGCTCTAAATCTGTGTTTATGAGTGGGTGGCCAGGTGGGGTGAAGTAGATGTAATGCATAGAAGATCTTTGGGTAACAGAGGAAATTTCACTGAGACTTTTTTTGTCACAGGATAATAATGTTCACTTAAAATCTATAGTAAGTTATAAGGTGTGTTTTAACCCAGGCTGTTTTTTGAAAGAGCCACAGTACAGCCAGTCATAACAGAGGTTATTTACATGTATCAGTCTTAAAGGCACAGTAGCAAAAACAGCTTGTTTAAAGAGAGGTTGGAAAATCATGTGAAAAATGAATTATGACTGAATTATAATGAATTTTTGATACATAAAACCACACATAAGTGGACCTCAGGGAAAAAAGTAAAGAACAAGAAAAATGTGGAAAAATCAGCTCTTTGATCTATGTTGACTTGAGTCCAACTTATTGGTCATGAAAAGTTTTTAAAATGTAAAAGGGCAGCTAGTAGTGTTTAAAAAATTAAATTAAAAGTTTTGATATAAAAGGCAATATATACTATTCACTATATATACACACTTTTTGTGTGTCTACTTTACAAAATATAATACATCCTATGTCTTATTAATATTAATTAAAAGTAAACATTCCACACTTGTAAAAATGTTCATCATCATATTTGATAACCCTGCTTTTTGAGAAGCCTTATTAAAAGTAGGAACCAAATAATGAAAATATTCTATTAACAAGATCAGTTAAATCCTTTATTTCGATTCTTTCCACAGTGACTGCAGATTTAACACCTCACAACCCCGAAAGGCACATCTTTGCTACATAGAGTGAAAACAAATCAGGCATTTCTGGAACTTTGTGTCTTTAATATGGCTCTGAACACCGATGCCAATGCACCTACTGCTGCCCCAAGTGTTGGCGAGGAGGAAGAACAGCAACAGACAGAACAAGAAACCAATCCACAACCAAATGGCGATCTTGGCCATTCCCCCATCTCCTCTCAGCCAGTGAAGACTGAGCAAATTCCACCCCCTGCCTCGGAGTCCACCCCCGCCCCAGAAGGCCCCACCCTGTTGGACTCCCTGCCCAGAGAACACCTGACCGTCATTGATGAAAAGATGGAAACAAGTAAACAGACTCTTAAAATATAATGAAGTATAATTTTTTTTAATTTAACATTTCCATCTTTCTTCTTTACACCCATTTTATTTCATTTAATTAACCCTCCAGTCACACTGTGATGTATGAAGCCCTTCTGGAAACATTTTCTTCATTTCCCTAAGTGTCCTTTGTCAGAGAGAGTGACTATGACACATAACAATGATTTAATGTCTCTCTCTCACTTTCACTCTCTCACTTTCCCCATTTCCTCCTGTTGTTCTGTCTCACGGTCTATCACTCCATCCATCTTTCTTCATATCCTGACTCTGTCACATCCCCACATCCCTCTTTTTTTCCTTTCTCTTCCATCTTACCACCCCCTCTTCTCTGTCCCTCTCTCTGAGCAGGTAATGGAGTCTGCCCCGTTGCTGTGGACACCTCTCCTCCTACCTCTTCTCGTTCATCTCCCCCTCGTCAGCAGCATGCTAAGCAGAGTCATGCTCACGCTAATGGCCATGCTCGACTGGGCAGCCGCTCGGGGTCAATGAGCTACGCTGGGTCACCTCGCCCGTCACTCTCTCGTCAGCCCAGCGCCGCCACCGAGGGGGCAGGAGACGGCCCCAAGCCCAACGATTACCTTGTTTTGGCTATACTCGCCTGCTTCTGCCCTGTCTGGCCCATTAACATCGTTGGCCTGACCTTCTCCGTTATGGTATGTGTTTATTTAACCCATTAAGTTTAACTTGGCCTATAAACGCCACTTCTTACATTTAGTTTAGTTATTTCTCACTTATAACTCACTAAAACAAGTAAAGATATTCTGTCAGAAGTGTGGAATCTGACATTTCAATCCAGTCTAGGGTTCGTGATGTAACAGCACCACGTTGCTTAAAAAATGATACCGATATTAAAATGATAAAAAATGACCACTAGTCACTCAATTTTTGCTCTCTCACTTAGACATTAGTTTTTATGATTTAAACTTTTCAGCAGAGCACCAGTTAGGCAGAATCAAACCAGTACTGTGGTGTGTGGCACTGTTTGTGTCTGTAGCCTGTTTGCTAAGATAACCTTAAGTAACATTAAGTTAGCTGATCCAGCTACAGATCTAAACTGTATCTGTTAAAAGGAAATATCTGTTCCTTAAATGCTAGTTTCTCGACTTCACTTCCTCAGATTTAAATCATCATTATTTAAACTTGTGTTGGTGAACTGTTTGACGAACATTTAGCAATTGTTAGATGGTTTGGCGTTTCAGTTATTTGGTGACCATGTAAGTGAACTAAACTTTTTGATTATTTTCCACTTTTACCATTTTTCCATTTTTAAAACGAGATGACACAAAAGCAACTTATGTCACTTACAGCACTATTGTTTTTCAGTTTTTGACATAATTTGAAAATGCCTTTTTACATTGTATGTAAATTTCAGGAATGGACCAAAAGAAATGGCCCATATTTTTGTAAAATATAATAGAAGTGAAATATAATAGAAGTGAAGAAAGAAATGTAATTCATTGTGTAATTAGCTTTGTAATTATTATATAATTACATATAAATACCACACCAAAATGACAATAAAACTCTAAACTTCTAAGTGTTTAAAAGATAGTATATGGGATTGGCTAATAGGGGATAAGGTTTCATATAATGTTTGCATTTCCTGGAATTAATGTACAATTTGTATTTGCATTCAGAATCTAAATTCACTGTTTATTCCACTTCAGACTATGCAGTACATCAGTTAAAGCCTTCCCGCTTATTCAGCTATAGCTGTAATATTGAGACTGATCATTTCTCACTTTCTTCCCTCATGCTTCTTTTTATCATCTTTAATGTCCTCCCTTCTCTTCTCGCTCAATCCCTCCCTCAGTCTCGGTACAGTCTGCAGCAAGGGAACATGGATGGGGCGCGACGTCTAGGCCGCAACGCAAAGATATTGTCAATCGTCTCAATCATAGGTGGAGTTCTTCTCATCACCGCCACCATCATCATTAACTGGGGATGTGAGTATTTTTCGCCTGATGACAGAAACCGTTTAGGGCTGGCATGGGATTTGTGATCCAGCAGCATGTGGGATTGCTTGGAGGTTTATTTCTGTCTTTGGATTCAAAGCTGAGCTTATTGCAGTTTGTGCTCGTCTGAATCTGGTTATGATTTTGTCTGAGGCTTTGACGGATCCAGATTTAGCATTTTGTTGATAAAAGCTGTTTACATGCTAAAGTTGATGCAGGCTGAAGTTTACAGTCCTGCTCAGGTTGAGCTTTAAATGCAATTTCACTACATTTGGCTCAAAGTAAAATGAAAAGCTGTAATTTCTTGTTAATCTGGTTAAGATTTTGTGTGTAGTACATTTTTTCTCTTTTTCTTCTAGTTTGATAAAACCTTTTTGACCTGGTTTTGGTTGTGTTACCATTTATATAAAAGAGATTAGTTTTAGATTTAATAAGGACTTTATATTTGCATCTTACCTTCCATATCAGTGTTTTCCCTACCGTAAAATAGCAAACATACCTACAGGCCATTTGGTTCAGTTAGGGCAAACTGATGTTTGCTTTAAAATGTTGCTTTAAAATGGCCAAAGGAAAATTCATTTTATCTCTTAAATGATCTATTTTCAAATGTAAGGATCTTAAGTCTGGTGTGAATCTGATCTTTCATATAGCACTGTTTAGCAGAGGTGAGCTGGTTTGTCCTGGAGGAGCAGCATCTACCTTGAGTTTTCACCACAGAATGTTTTTCTGCAAACTAAAATATTTGTTTGGGTTATTTTATTGAAATATGGTGTTAAATAAATGGTAATGTAAGACATGGAACTTAAGCATAGTGTTTTCCATTTTATTTTGTTAATGAATAATCCTGCTGTATGTGTGCAGACATAAGCAAACAATCGCTGTAGCATTCTGCAAGCGCTAATAATCAAGAGCAGATCTGTTTGGGGGGTCTTGTACACTTAGTCTAAGCAATATTTTGTGTTAATTTAAGAAACTATTCTGTGGAAATGTACTGTATGTCAATTATTCTTTGGCCCAATGTAAACTTTAAAAGGCTTGTGTCATAAAAAACTTAATTTTCCTCAGTTGATGTAGTATGTGAACATTGTTCAAGTTTCAAAACATTCTGTTCGTGTCCCAGTCCGTTCAGTCCAGTTATGGAAATTAAGCTGCAAAAACATCCTGTGGTTTTGTGATGTCACAAGAACCAACTTACTTACATATATCACCTATGGGGTCTGCACCAGTTTTGCCTGCCCATTCACTCTGAGCTTATAAGGAGTGTTACAGCCTGGGATGTTTGTTTTAGTCAGGATAGCCAGTCAGAACAGAGATCATTTACATATAACAGTCTTAAAGCCACAGTAACCCAAAAAGCTTGTTTAATTCTAATGCATAAAATAAAATCAAACAAACATTATAAGTGGAGCTAAAGAGAAAAAAATGAAATAGTCAAATGTTGGACATGGGTCCTTTAAAGCATTCAGCCACACAAATTCCTCTGCTATAAATTAACTGTCTCTAAATTGTTAATCTTCCTAATGACAGAATTGTACTTCCTGAAAATGAATGTATAGAGAATGTAAAGTATAGTATATTCACTATGTATGTATGTTTTCACTGTATTTTTGAAAACATTTCTGTGCTGTGATACAACTCCAGTCCTGCATATGTTTGATGGCAGCTCATACGCCATTTGTGCTGAAACTGATTTTATGAATCTTGGCTCAGTGATGAAAAATCTGTTTTACTGCTTTTCTCAGTCCAGATATTACATAAGCTTTTCATTTGCAGCTTCCCATTTAAGGTTATGCATTGCAGTGTCTTCTTTGCTTGCTAATTGTGTGATTGATTATTGATTATTATTTGTGATTTATTTTGTTTTGATGTTAGCTACATCTGACACACCTCTTCCCATCTGTTCCAGTTATATTAAAGTCCTGAGGGTTGCCATGACAATCAGGGCCGAGGAGGAATTTCTGACCAACCAACCAATCCATGATGACCATCATCCTCTCTCATGCTGCATTTCCAGATCATTCTGAAGCACCCCGAGCTTTTTGTTTTAAGTTATTTTCTACTCTTTCTCAAGACTCTGAAGCTGAACAACCCCATTTTCATCTGTCGAAACAAAATCACCAGACCTTCCCAGCCTTTTGAATGTAGGTATAATGACTGAAGCCAATGGAATGGCAATGTGCATGTTTGTTTGTTTGTTTGTTTTTCAACAAAAGGACTTATACTTCTTAATGATGTCAGCGAGGAGGCTTCCAGTATGATCTCATTTCCTGTCTCAAGTCACTTGGGTGTGTGTGTGTGTGTGCGGAGAGAGAGGGAGAGAGAGAGAGAGATGAAAAGGGAACAAATGAGCTTTAAGGAGGCTTTTTATTTGGAGAACAAATGAAAGATGATCTGTTCCTCCCAAAGTTCAGTGGGTTCTGAATAATAGCATTGCCTTCATACATAAAGAGAATGGCACAGATAAAAGGTTGAGAACAGCTGATACGTCTCTAATGCAGATTAACATGAGGAAAGGCAAGTACTGATAGGTGGACTGGTGAAAGGGAATGAACAGATGACTTGAAAGCAGGTTTCTGCAGAAGTAAGGATTTTTCTTTTGGGTAGGAGAGTAAAGGAGAACACAATGAGAATCTGATGAGACGGACTAGCACAATCTCCAGCCTGGGCTTTTCATCTCTATCAGACACAATCACAGTCCCAAAGGAGCAAGACCATGAAAGAGAGTAGCAGACACTCATACAGCACCTCTCGCTAAATCTATCTATCTATCTATCTATCTATCTATCTATCTATCTATCTATCTCTCTCTATCAATCTGTCTGTTTATCTGTTTACTTAGTTCAAATGTGCACACTTGATTTGCATTAGATAAATAGATAGACTGAAAAAATAATGGATTCAAAATACTTGATTTAAATATGTACAACATGAATAAAATATATTACATCAATACAGTTACTGCCCAAAGTAAATAAAAGTGTCCAAAAGTCAGAGACCACATTTCAATTATTTAATTTCCACTCAAAACAGACTTTAAGTACAAGCTATTCATTTTTCAGGAAAAGCATATATTTAACAGAAAACTACACAGAAACCTCAACAACTCAATATAATATCAGTATTTAGAGCGTCCACGCTTTGCCTTTATTTGCCTACTTGGGAGACGCCTACAAAGTCCAGTCTTAGAAGAGGGATGCATTTTCTGCTTCTCACGATTCAAACAAAACACATTAAATGATGTTGATGTCAGGACAGCTCATTGTTCTGAGAACACCAGCATCTTCTTTGTTTGATTTGCAAATGTTCTTCTTTTTTGTCTCAGTAATGGCTTCTAAACAGCTACACATCCTTTCAGACCCATAGCGTTGAGTTGCCTTCTCACAGTGGAAGGATGGACAGAAACACTTGTGGATGTTTTTTAGATCTGTAGTTAGAGTAGAGCTTGAGTTTCTCCTCTCTGAAAAGCTTTACCTCCATAATACACAATCTGATGGTGATAGTTTGGTGGTCGACCAGGTCTTGTACAGTTGTTAGTCCCATTTTCTTATTTTTATAATTACATATCTGTACCTTTTAAAAATACATGTAATCTTATCATAAATATTACCAGAAAAATGAATAGCTTGTGCTAATTGGCTGTTTTGACTGGAAATTAAATATATGAAGGGTGGTCTGACTTTTGCAGAGTAACCTATCTATCTATCTATCTATCTATCTATCTACCTACCTACCTACCTACCTACCTACCTACCTACGTATCTATCTTGTCACAATCTAGTGTTTGGCACATGAACACTGCTAAATACAACGTGGGCTAGATTTGTGTGAAAACAGGCTGGATTTGTGTGAAAACAGGCTGGATTTGTGGGAGTTGAAAAGCAGAGAGGGGGAAATGCAGGTGAACACACATAGGCATGTTGTGATGATGCTGATTGGCTGTGTGAGGGTAACCAAAGCGCATTGGAGGATTTGGTGGTGTGGAGTGGACTGAGCTGGGCTGCAGTCCTTTGTTTCACACAGATGGAGAGATGAGGGAGGGGTGGAGGGAGGTGGCAAACTGCTGATGAAATATACTTTAGAGATGGAGAGAAATAAGGAGTGCAGTGGTGTTGAGAAGGATGGGAACAACAATTCTGAGGGGTCCTGTGTACCGTGTGTATGTGTATGTGTGTGTGTGTGTGTGTGTGTGTGTGTGTGTGTGTGTGTAGGGGAGGGGGTAGCGATATTCCCCTGCACCCTTTTCTCTCTCTCCTTCCCTCGTTATGTTCTCTCTCGACCACCAGTGCAAACCGCATCTCCATGTAATGGTGAATCAGTGCTGTAGGTCAGTATGTAGCTTTTGTTTCATTTATTTATTTATTTGAATTAATTTAATGTAACTATACACTGTATATCTTAATGTTTACAACAACACTGGAAGCCAGTATTTTCCTGCACAATCAGATACCTGATCAGGACCCTTTCACTATGAAGAACCAACACAGCTGAATCAGTTCATTTGGTTGACTCACTTTAGAGTGATAACTGATTCATTTCTATTTGGATGCACAAAACAGAATCTGTGCCAAGTTTCTGAAGGACAGATTTTCTCTTTGGCTCAGAAGGTGTTTGCGTTTGTGTGTGTGTGTACGGTGTGTGTGAGGTGAGAGGATTAGATTGCGAGCGGTAATTGGTAAGTATTTACAGAGTTCTTTTTGTGAAGCTATAATATTCCAATCCCAAAAACATGGTATTTTACACAATGCTCTTTCATGGAATCACTTCCGATATATAGCCATCACATTGCTGGAAAGTGTAAATTCGCTTCAAACCCAGTCATTATCTAAACATTTACATCTTCATAAATGCTCACTCAAGGAAGTGTATATAGACTTCCCTTCTCATCCACAGTTTATGTTTACAGCATGATGGCCTTTTGAAGAGACAGAAGGAGGTGACTGGTGGTTTGCTGAAATTGTATATGCTCAGTTTTTTGAAAGGCTAGACCTTCGTTTTGTAGCACTTTGTTAATACATGATGTTGAAAAGAACCACTGGATATGACAAGGTTTACACTATTGTTAAGCACCCTGACTCTCATACTCGGTCTAGTCAGTGTAATGCGGGTTATATCGGTCATTAGAGAACCTGCATGCATTTCGTGTTTTAAAGCCGCACAATTAAGATTTTGTCCACTAAAGGTCACTAAATAAATGTGGAAAATACCTTTTCTATAAATTAACTAAAGTTTTGGAGAAGGACCATGCCTGAAACCCCCTCCCCAACCCCCCCGGCCCGCATTCTCCGCTCTGTAAAGTCTCCCCTCTTCCTTCAGCTTCCTGTGACGAAAACTTTGCATCCTACTACCACCCCATCTCCTCCCACGCTCTCTATACGATCGAGGAAGCCCCAGAGCTCCTGCCCAAGCTTCTCAGAGTTCCCTCCTTTGTCCCCAGCTCAGTTTCGGGTATGGTCCACTGTAGTAAGAACTTATAAGTCTGCGCATGCAAAAGTAAAAATTCTGGACTTGGTTCTGTCTTTGCCTTTTAGAATCAATGAAGCCCCATTCGAGCTGGATAAGTTTTACCTGGAGAGGTGCTGAAATTTGAAAGATCAGTGATTTTAATCTACTTCTAAGTCTGCTAAGTAATAATTCCAGCATTACCTTCTATAATTTGTCAAACCTGGAGCTCCTTCAATAATAGCAGTCCTGTTCAATTCAGCCTCACAGTAATGCAAAAAAAAACTGTTAATAGACAATAAAACCCGTTTTTTTTTTTTCTGGAGACAATACTAACTGCAGAAATGAAGCAGGTCATTTATCCTCAAGTTCAAAACAGGACTTCTGTAAAGTACAACATTTTTTTTCTGATGACCTAATTAGAAGGAGAATGAAAGTTAAATATCTTGACAGTATCTTTCACAGGGTAGTGAAATTTCTGTCTTGTTGGGTGGCATATGTTAAAGCTACACTATGTAAGTTTTGGGAATTTGGACCTCTCTGGTGGGAATGTGTAATTGTATGCACCATGTGAAAGAACAATTTGTGAAGTGGCTTGTGCTTCAGACCCCTTCCCGGAGGGGATGAATCTGACTAATGCAAGTGCATTGAAAGAGTATTTAAAGAGAACTCAGTCAAAATTTAGTGAAATGTGAATTATGTACTCTTGTTATCAGATCTTCATTAATATAGTGTTGATTTTGTATTTGAGATCTAAACATTAAACCAGACCTTTTTGAGCCTGTGCGAGTGTGTGACAGGATGTATGACATGGTCCAAAAATCTCCCACGAAATCTGACCCAACTCTTCTGACTTTCATTATTATTATGATTATTATAGTACTTCTTTCAGTTTTAACAAAATAATCTTGCATAGTGCAGCTTTAAGTTGAATGAGCCCACTTTAATATCCTAATGCTATTGTATCTGGCATCAACTGGGAGTTTTTAGTGTTTGTTTGCTTGGACCTGTGTAATTTTAGAGCTGTCTTGAATGTCCGGGCTGCGGAGATATTACACAGACACTTTAACCCGTAAAAATCAGCCCGTCAAACCCCCTACATTACCAGACCTCCTTTGGTAAAACTAATCCAGCTTGACTAGGTCTTGAGACTAGCTTTGAATGCGATTGCTCCAATGACGATGATTTATACATTAGCACACAATGTTTGGGGACCCTTTTTTTTGCTCGGTTGCGCTTATTCTAAACTGGCAGACAAACACCTTTAAATGTGCAAATGGGTGAATGTGCTGGCCATGTAAATGACCCGAACGTTCTGAAAGCAGGTCCGAGAATATTTTGATAGCTGGTAGAAGTTGCCTTGTTGACTTGACACCACGTCATGAAAATGGCAACTTGATTTCTGCAGCATTTTGACCGCTTCCTTTTTCTTCGCACAAACATAAAGAACCTGTAGCATGCCTATTTTTAATTAGTGTCAGTCCAAAAACATTCTCTAAGCAGCAGTGTGGGAAGTTTGTTTTCTCTTAAAATGCTCTAACTGGCTAAAGATATTTACTCTGCCTGCACTGCTAGCATCTCTTAATGTATATACATGTGTACATATGTGGATGTATATATTTGTACTGCTACCTTCTGCCTCTGCTTTCCTCTTTGATTAATTATGAAGAATATTAGTAATGCAAATTCTTGACTGTTACCACTACAGTGCTTTCACAAATTCTGTTCTGATACTATAATTATCGTTATGCGTATTTTTATGGTTCTGTACTTTAGAATGATGCCTCTGAATTAACCATGCTTAGAAATATATATACACAATATGTACAACTTAGCTTTTGAGATTTGCAGTCACTCGTTGGGCTGTTTTTGGTTTTGCTGGTATATTTCTGAGGTGTGACCGTCGGCCTCGCATGTTTACACACTTTATTACGGAATCCACATGCTGCTCAGTGACATTCTGATGAAGGAATCGTGTAATCTTTCAGTGACACCAGCAGAGTACTAATCTCTGGGTTTCATCCGGTTCCACCAAATCCTAGTCTGTCCATTTCTACTTCACGATAATGATCTTTTTTATGCACCTTGTAAAAACACTCTATGCCATTTCCTCATGTCTCTCTCCTTCCGTGAATGTGACTTTCCTTTCTTTCATAATTTCACCCTCAGGTCGGGTAAGTCACCAGTGCCAGAGGTTGATGTTTGAACTTAATGTTTGTGGCGTTATGATAAGCCCTGTTGCTCCTATAATCCTGACTTTGTGCAGACTTGCCTGTGCATGCCTTAATGGATTGCTTTGAACCAACAGTATGTGATTTACACAGTATGTAAGACAAAGCCTTTGATAGAGCTCTCTGTA